GTCATGATATAAAAAGGACTGGGGAAGACTACGAAAAAAAGCTCCCCACCTAATCTAACATGAATAAAAGACAAGAGCCCATGGACACTTTAAAATCAAGCCACTCCAATGGCTGTCTCCCTATGGGGTAAAAATGCCTGGGAACTGCCAGTCTGGCAGTTTATGAATAATTCCACCAAGAGGACCTCTCCTGGGCAGGTCTGAATCTTCCAGAAGAGCATGTTCAAGATGGCCGGCTGCCTTCATGTCCCCAGGAAGCCTTCCCCGTTCCACTCCCCTCTCTGCCCTGACTGCCACAGACCTCAGTGGCAGGCAGGGAGACGGGGTACAAAGTGCAGACGCTGCTGAGCCCGGGCCTAAGGCTGCCAACACTGTGCAGGAAGACTTTCAGCCAGGCACCTACCCCCCTAACCCCCCCGGACGTCTGGTTCACGTCTCCTCCTGACTCCGGCTACGTACTTCTGGGATGTGCTCTCGCTGACTCTGCTGTTCCTTCATCCCACAAGCCTGAACATAGCAGGGCCCCCCTGTGCAAGGTGGGGTTCAGGGAAGCTCTCACAGCGCCTGGCTGCCTGCAGGGGCTCTGTCTCCTTGGCGGGGTGGGGAGGGAAACAGGCTTTCTGACCGTGTCTCTGATCTACTAGCCGAGTGCTCCTTCCTCAACTCCAACCCCGCACCCTGCTGCCCCTGAGGCACGTGTCCCCGCCTTCTCTCTCACTGGTGTGCAGGCTCCCAGGCACCACCGCCTGTCCACTCCTCACTGTGTCCCCAGTGTCCAGGAGATTGGGCGAGCTGCGCGCGTGCGGCAGGATGGAGCTAACCCAGTACTGAAAGCACGCTGTCCGCAGCGCTTGCTAGGCATTATCTCGCACTCTCCGAGCAGTGACCCAGCAGGCACAGCCAATGCTGGTTTTTCATGGAGACCCTGAAACTCTGTGAGATCAGCTAAATGTTAAAAGGCGACCAGGATAGGGAAAGAGTTGGCACTTACGGGGAAAGAAACCCGTCTCGTGGGTGGGGCAAGGGAGCCAAGACTTCTTGGAAGAGGAAACAGGGAAGTTGGCTTCCACTGGCTTCACAGACTTATTTCCCTCAGACAGTGTGCTCCCCTCAAACTATTCTTTAGTTATTGAGGGTACTTATTTAGCCTCTTCACCTGGAGGGCGAGGGTAGCACCTGGTTGCATATTCTCTGTGACACCGAGCAGCGTGCACAAGCGTTTACAGAGCTCTTAGCGCGCCAGGCTCAGGTCTGCCTGAGCAGGGAGCCCACGATGTGGAAAACGTATACGAGTGCAGGGTCAACGCGTAGGCATTCGTGCGCTTTCAGAGGGGACCCGTCATGCCTGACTCTAGGGGACTGATTCCATGAGCAGGTGGTAATTGGCATATCAGGTGTTCATGTTTCTAAAAGCTTGAAGTCAGTTCCTTTTCAGTAAGTTAAATGAGCATCTTGGGATTGAATTTATCATTCATTTACTTAACAGAACCGTTCTCTCAGTTCAGGAGCCGACATCATGCTGGTTTCACGATTCAGAGCACCTGCCCACTTAGCAGACCTGGGTGACTCTCTCAGACCCCTATTCCCAAAAGGACCCCGCTTAAAGCTAAGGAGGCCCAAGGCCAGCAGCACTGCCCTGCACAGGGCACTACTACGCACCAGGCCGAGCTCAATGCTTCCCGTCCTCTCACTAACCTCCACACCTACCTCAGCTCAGGTGCGTTTTGCGTCATCGCTATATAAAAGGTATGGGATTGTACAATGGGAGAAAACAGAGGTTCTATAGTTTAAAATTATTTGAAAACATGGTTAAACTATAAGCAAGTAATATCTGTTTCAAGGACCTGTCCTGTGGGACAGCCTCGTACTGCTCCCCACATTCTTTCACGTTCTAGGAGCATCTAGGGCCGCGGCCCGACAACCCTAACAGGCGTCTCTCACAGCAGTGCAGGGCTCTGCATTCTGCAAAATGCTTTCTCCATGGACCGTCTCCCCGGATCCCAATGACAATTCCACCAGGAGGGCAACACAGACATGGACCATCTTCCCAAACATGCAAAAGAAGAAACAAGGAGATCTGGTCTGACAGGCCCCAAGGCTGATTTTAATTTTCTATTTCAGCCATGGTGTGACCTAGAGTTCCTTAACCTTCTCAGGGCTCAGTTTCCTTCGCTGTACAATGGGTTGTGGATCAAGTTAATCTTTCAGTATCCTTTTCGCTCTCATACATCCTGGTTCTATGATCTAACTTCAGCTTAAAGATGAAAAACAAATTGATCTTGGCAAGCCTGGGGAACTTCTAGTCTTAATAAATGTAAATCAGGGGCAGGGGAGCTGCTGCGCTGGTGAGAAACACCTCCACACTTAAACGTATGGCTTTGATTTCATCCCGCTGGACCTTACATCTGCAGGGGGTTAGGCAGCCCATGCTCCTGTCTAAGGCTCCAGGATGGTGAGTTTGGGGCTCTGAATCGCCAAGTCTTCTGCTGCTGACTGAGCTCTGCTCAAGCACAAGGAGGTTTTGCTTGAAGGCAATTTAAGTCAAACTTCCTTGCATTTTGATGAGGCAGCTGGAGTTTCCAGAAAATATTACTGAGCTGAATTCAGAATGATTCTACTTTCCCTCTCAGTCTCCTCCTCTGATTAGTGGGGACTTTAACATGAGTGTCTGTTTGTGCCTCCCCAGAAGCCATCGTCCTTCAGACCCCTACACTCACAGCTGTGGCCGTGGCCTGCAGGCAGAGACCTCGCTGTACTTGCCATGGAAAATGGACCACCCACGCGACCCAGTCAAGACATCCTCATTTTCACACAAATGGGTCTATTAGTTTGACAGGATGAAATGGGGAAAAAGTAAGGGCTACGAAACAGGGGGGAGTTATCTCTGCACAGAGCATCAGCTGATCTTCAACGACGCCTTCTAAGAACTCCATTCTAAACATGACCACTTTCCCAGCACACAGGCACATGAGCCCAGCGAGAGGCAGGGCACAGCTCATGTTTCAGGTTCCTTATAAAGGTCACGAGAAGGCTGTGCTCCTGCATCTCACCAGCATGGGCCAAACTCCAATAGGATGGCCTGCTATGCGCAGCCTGGAAGAACATTCTTCTCTTTCCAATTATGAGATTTTTAGGGGGTGGGGTGTCTATCCTTAGCTGACCACAGTTGTGATGGCCAAGTCCTAAGGACTTGTCTCAGCAGCTGGTTCATTAAATAAATTTGGCCTTTGTCCTCTGGGTCTTTGGTAAAGAGCTAGTTAGCATTTATTCAAGGCAAGAAAGATATGCCTGGCATTGAGTCAGATAGTATATTTTGTGGGTCTCTGTGTCCCCTTGAGACAAACTTACAGAAAGGGGTGGAGGGGGTGAGGGAGCTTCTTAGGCCCCAGGACTGGCATCACTCTCTCCTATAGACCTTTTTGAAGATTCTGTTACCTGGAGGCTCTCTGCACAGGTATAGGCCCTGCCAGTCTAGCTAGGTTGTCACTTCGATGTTGGTAGTCACAATTAGGGATATGAACCCTTTCAGAGAAACACCTTCCATCGTTTCATTTGGCCTGGAGGTTTCTCACGGTCCTCTTTTGGGGTCAGAAAGGGAAGCTCTGCTCTTACGAGGCTGCTACCCTGATGGGGAGTATCACTGCCCAGGTGGCAGCAACACACGCTCTCACAGTACAGACTAAAACCTGAGAGCGTTAGTGATTTGAAAGGACTCGGATGCCTCATTTAGGTGTGTTTTAGCAGAAGTTTGGGAGAGTAAGAAAAACCTGGCGGGTTAAACTTTGGCTTACACGTGCTGTCACTGTCACGGTCACTGGTCATCTTTGATGAGAGCTATTCATGCTAAAGCCTTAATTTAACTTTTCTCTGTTATTTTATGGCTTAGGAGGCCATTTGGGGTCCCTCTAGGAACACAGCTCCTATTTATAACACTATCTCAATGGAGAATAAGCTCTGAAGAAACACTGTTTTGAATAAAGCTCACATTTCCCAGAAAATAGCCCCAGTGTGATTCCAATAGGCATGGCATTGTGTGCGGAGAGGCCCTGGAAGCTGTGTGAGCTGAGCTGCACACGGGGAGCCCGCGCCTGGATGCAGTGGCAGAGAACAAACCGCAGCGACAGCTCTGGGGACCTCTCAACTTCCCCGGCTGGGTGACTCTTTGATGTGGGCATCTGAGTCTCGATCTGTCCCTGTCAGGGGAACACGCTGATTTCCTGAACAGGGCACTCTCTGTGGATCCAGGGTATGGGACAAGCACTTCGTTGCTAGAGAACAGGGTGGGGGACCACAAGCCCCCGGCATCAGCCCCGCGGAGACATCTGACACCGCTGCCTAATCACCTCCTCTGGGAGGATCCTGCCACAGCTCGTGCCTCATCCAAGGGCACAGGAAGGTGGACTCAGGTCACACACAACTTGGGTTAGCAGCCCCAGCAGCCAAGAGCCTCAGGTCACTTACTCAGCACCTCTGAACCACTATCCCCTTGTCCGCCCGGTGCCAGCAACTGTCATACCCACCTCACTGTGACCAGGGAGTGAGGAGGGCTAGGCTTAGGGCCTCGGGGCTCCATGACTGTAACTACCACTACTGCTGTTACCACCTCAGAGGAGAGGTGTGAGTGTAGAGGGAAGTCACTTTCAAGAACTGAAATTCCATCCCACACTCAAGAGGAAAAAGCCCAGGATTTGGGCTCTGTGTGACCTTGGGTTGAATCTCAACTTACCACTTACTGGCTACATGACCTTGGACAGCCACTCTACCTCCGTAAGCCTCAGTTTCCCTATCTGTAAAAGGGGCACAAACTGCACATCTTAGGACTGCTGTGAGGTTCACACAGAGAATGCGTGAGGGGTGCTCACAACACTGTCTACCTTATTGCTGGTGCTGGCATCCGCTCCATACCTGCCACTCAAATGCACCTTGCAGTTTCTACCTCAAGGCTGGGTAGACTCCTAGCTTTGAGGTTGGAGTCACGAGGCCCTTCTCAAAGCTCGTACCTTTCCCGGCGTTTCTAGGAGGCAGCGGAGGCGCCTCCAAGGTGGGTGATGTGGGCGAGTCTGTGCTTGTGGAGACGAAGATCTGGTTGGTGAAGGCGCTGTAGGAGAGTCGCTGCTTGTCCCTTGGGGTGCCAAACCCCGGCTGTGACAGCTTGTCCTGGGGGGAGATGGAGGAGTGGCAGAAGCTCTGAGGTCGCGGGGAGCGCTCCTTCTTGATGGGGCTCGGCTGGCGGGTGAGATAACAGTACAGTGGGTGAGACAACAAGTCAGACTCCACCCCAGGAGGGCTCCTGTGGGAACCTGGGTTCCCTGGGCTTCATTAGGTCACCCACAACGATGGCTGAGAGCCACCCCACAGTACAGGGAAGGATGCCGACGTTACACTTCCGATCCTTGTGTCACCATTACCAGGGTCGTGTTAGAGAGATGCTGGTTAGGGATCAGCAGCGTTCAGAAACATAAGGTCACAGTTAGATTTAACATTTTATCAACAAATCCCTCCCGAGTGCAGGACACTTTCACCAACAATCAGACAGACTCCCACCCACCTATAACTGACAGAGTTAAACGTTCCTTTCGGTCCAACCCTCTAATGCTGAAGTTCTCAATCATCACCTCTCCTCATGTGCATTCTCTTAGGAAACAATCTCATCCACACCCTTGGCTTCCACAGACACCTAATGCTGATGACTCAGACCTGCAGGTCCAACTCCAACCCCTTGGATTCAAAACCATTTCCAGTGGCTTAGGAGGTGCCCCTGTATTTGCACTCTGGTGATAGCTTTAGCATCCATGCAACTTTTCAAGTTAGGAACCTCAGTGTCTTCCAAAGCCACCAGGCCATGCAAGGAGAGCTCAGAAATATCCCTTGGGCCCCTTGGCTATGCAGGACCCACCAGCTCCCACTGGAGCACTGGCTTCCTGAAGAGCCCCGATTCTAGTTTCTTTCACCTCCAGCCCATTCTCCACAATGATGGCAGAGCTGGTAGGAAACCTTGCTCGTCCCACGATAAACCTCTGTTGGCTTCTGACTGCTACTGGTGGTTAATCTGAAAATTGGCTCTATCCAAAGCCAAAAGGTCAAACCTGGCCCACAGTGCCCCTCCTGATCTGGGCTGCCTGCCCCTGCAGGGCAGCCTCCTGCCTCTCTCCATGCAGCCAACGTGAAGGTCGCCTCACACACTGTGCTTCTAACCTTTTCTCAGTCGTCCAAGCTCCAGCATGACCCCTGGGCCTTTGCACATGCTGTTTTCTCTTCCTGAAAGGACGCATTCCTCCTCACTCCTTTGCCTGGCAAGCTCCTCCCTGCCCTTAGAAGCCCCTCTTCACTTCACTTCCTTGAAAAGGTCTTCACTGTCTGCCCAGGTGGAGGCAGCTGCTCTGTCCTCTGAGCACTTCTCAGCAACCTCCCCCACTTCTATTATATTGGTTACCCATGGTATGATACTTTGTCTCCTCTCGAAGTGGCAAATGCCTTCAGGGCACCTTTGTGTGACCATCTCTGGCCATTCTTTACATCCTGCCTGGGAGAGAGGAAATGTCCGCACACATCCAATGAGAGGTGCGCGAGTGGACCTTCAGAGGTTGAGAACTATCTACGGGAGTCAGACAGAAGTAGGTTTGATCGGAGGCTGCCTCCGCCGGCTCTGAGAATTCAGACGAATTGCAAAATGTCCACGTGTGCAGGTTTTCTCCTCTGCGGTGACAACAGTGCAGTGGGCGCTTGGTAGGAACGACCTGAGGGGACACGGGCGACGTGCCTGCGCTGCCCAGCCCTTAGGCACGTGCTCGGGAAATGACAACTTATTCTTTACTCATTAGTTGTTTGGATGGCTAATCAAACTTGGCTAAGCCAAGTGCCCAGGTGTTTGGTCAAACAGCAGCCCAGGAGTTGCTACAATGGTATTTTTTAGTGTGATTAACATTTAGCTTTGGAGTAAAGGGCATTACCCTCTGTAAGGTGGGTGGGCCTCATCCAATTAGTTGAAGAGTTTAAGAAAAAAGACTGAGGTCCCCCACTGAGAAGGAATTCTAGCTCCAGACTGCCTTTGGACTCAAGACTGCTGGGATTTCCAGACTGCCCTATAAACTTTCGATTTGTCAGCCCTCATGAGTGTGTGAGCCAATCCCTTAAAATAAATTTCATGCTTTCTCTCTATGTATACACGTTTCTCTGGAGAACCCTGATACAGCTGTTATGTAGTACCCAACAAGGAGCAAAGTCTGAACCAAGAAAATGGTGCTGGCACATCAGGTCAAAAGATTAAAACAACCTCATGAAGAGGAGTCTTGGCTACATAGTGCAGAAAAATTAGGAGCAGCCCTCAGAAATTCAGAGGCGTAATTCACACTCACCTTGTCGTCCAGGTCATCGTCACTCTCGTCCATCTCTTCCTGCCGAAGATTCCATTCGTATTCTACGTGGACGTGTGGATTGAGCTTTCCACATTTAGCCTGAGAAAGCTGAAAGAAACAGCAGGTGTAACCATTTTCACTCAAATGCCAAACCCCCCAACATTACAGGAACACTGAACAAACCCCACCTTATTCCCTGTTCCAAATTAACCACCGGTAGCTGCATTATAAGCAAATCTCTGACTGTACAAGCTGGAACACCAGCAGCAGGCTGAAGAGAAACTGCTAGAAATTACAGGCACAGCCTATTTTAGTTTGATAACTTGACTTCTCTCCAAGATATAAAGTTTTCTTAAATATTATTAAAAATGAGTCTCAAAACTGCAAAATCTTGGCTGGAGGGCAAAATCAGAGACAGTGAAGTGTGAAAGGTGGGCCCTCAAAGTCAGACAGTCCCAGTTCAATCTATGTCCTGCTTTTCTTACTCATACATGGGAGCCCTGCAGGAATGAAAAAGTACCACTGCGGGCACGGGACTCGGGAATGTAACTTATCTTTCCTGTCTCAACCTTTCCCATGGTTAAGTGCATTGTGTTCTGCTAAGGCCTGGAGCTGAAAGCAGGAACTAGTAGGATCAAAAACAGGTGAGTGCGTACAGAGGCATGGAGGGGAGAGCAGTGTGTTTAACATTTTAAAAATCATTGCACTCTGAACTTTACTTGCCCAATTTTTGGAATTGGCTTCCTAAATAAGTCGTCTTTACTATTAAGCTACAGAGAAAGCCTAATGACCTCCATCCATCAGCTGCCTGGTAATACCACCTCTCAAATGCCTTCCAGTTCCTACATCACAGCTGCACTCAAAAGACAGGGGAGTGACAACTTTGTTTTTTCAAACATGGCTGTAGTGCTTGTTGGAATTTCTTTAGCCAGCATTCAAAAAAATGGATCTGCTGCTGTTACTTCCAATTCCAGTTTCTGAGGACGACATTTCAGGGCTGATGTCTGTTAGACACCCTGCTTCTTGTGTGCTTACCAAGTCTTCACACTGGGCGGCTTTTACTCTCTTTGCTATGTCGAGGGCCGTCTCTCCAGCCTGGTTAACTAAAATCGGGGAAAACACATGTGCATAATTATCTAGGACAGATCTCGAAAAGACAAGAAACAATGATCAGATTACGGTGCAACAGGCGAATCTCGGTTTTAGCCAACAAGGCTCCTACTATGGTTATTAAGACCCCTGGTGGTGCTCTTACCAACATCCACAGTGGGCTTGCTCCTGAGCAGTAGCTTCAAACACTCGGGTTTTCCATACATGCTGCAGTAGTGCAAGGCCGTATTTCCTAGGGAGGTCTGCTTGTCCAGGTTACCACTGAAAAATTAAATTGGTAGGAAAAATGGCTTACAGTCCAGCTTAACACTACAGATTAACTACTTATTTCTGACTTTAAGTTCACCTGAGTCAAATTTCAGACTTATTATAAAATTATGATGTTTCTAACATTGCACCCAAATTTATAAGCAACATATGACAACAGCAGCCAGAATTTATTGAGTGCATACTATGAGAGACATTGTCTCTTAGCTTTTCACACGTCTTAGTTCATTTAATCTTCACAACCACCCAATGGGTAGGTGCTATTACAGCTTTTATTTTACAGATGAAAACAGGCACAGAGAGGACAGAGTGCTTGTGCTCAAGATCATTAAGACACGGACGATGGAGCAGGGATCTGAGCACAGGCAACGTGTGCCTGAAGCCAATGCTCTTAACCACCGCACCTCTAAGGGGCTTGGGCGTTGATACAACTTGGCTTGTGTCATATGTGGGTTCAAACGCCCTCATTGTTTTACTCACTCTCCTTTGGAGAAGCTCCATTTCCATGGCTTACAGATCTACCCAATAAAGAATCCAGCAAGTTCAAACCTCCTGTGTGGAATACTGTACTCCTATTAGTATGTCCCAAGTTTGAATAAGCTATCATGTCAGCCACACACACTGCTGTCTTACAATGAACATCATGTGGACCTGCACTAGTAAATCTTCTGTTTTTCAACCTCCCTAGTGCTGCAGGTTTTGAACCCAGAGACAGGATTTTACACTTACCTAGGCCAGGGGTTGGTGAACCATAGCCTGTAGGCCTTCTCTGGCCCTCCACTTGTTTTTATAAATAAAGTTTTATCGGGACATGGCCACACTCACTTATTTACATACCATCTCTGGCTGCTTTCACACTACCACGGCAGAGTTGAACAGCTGCGACCAGACCTTATGGCCTGCAAAGCCTAAAATAGTATCTGGCTCTTTACAGGAAAAGCTTGCTGATTCCTGACCTAGGCCACTAACAGGACTGGTCTGTGTTAACGTACAAGGCGTATTCGGACAAACAGAAACTGTACCAGTTTTGGACAAGGAAGTCAACCAGGTGGAGAGACGTCTGGTCCGCGGTTCGCACTGCAAGGTGAAGGGCCGTCTCCCCAAGCTCCTAAAAAGGGCAGATAAGCATGAACAGGGTGGCCACATGTCTAGGGCAGTTTCCTTCATACCCGTTACCCCAAAGTAATTATTAATAGCATCCCTTTCACTCTCAAATAGTCCTGATTTAGATGGGGTCATGCAATGGACTAGAGTCTCATTATAATAATATGAGTCGTCTTTCAATGGACTGTCCACATTCCTTTTGATCTTATGATTTCAGCGAAGCCTCACCTGCCCGGGCTCCAGCAGCGGTTCCATGAGCTCTACGCCCTCTGCATAGACTTGAATTAGTGCAAGTAAGTCCCTAGATCTGATGGCCTCAAGCAATTCATTCAGTTTAGCTGATGAAGATGAACAGGTCTTCCTTGAAAACCGGTGATCCACATATTTTGCCGTGATATATTCTTTCCGTACAATCCTAACATAGCAAAATGAGACAAAGAATCTTTATTTTCCCAGAGCTCAGAGAGGACAGAGCTGCAGACCAACAGTTCTCTCGGAGAAGAGTGATTTTAGTTAAGATACTTCTTTTCAACCTTCAAACACACCAGGTTTTAGACCGAGTTATTCCAACAGAGACAGAATGAAGAACCTGGTACATATATTCACTTACACGTGCAGGCAGCCTGCAGTTACAGAGGACTGGGCCGGCAGACCCCACTTCTTTGAGCAATAGCAGGAGAGATGCGCTATTTGCTCCTACTTCAAACTCAGGCACACGTTAAGTATATAACACAAATGAAAAATTTGAGAAGTCAACACAATTCTAAAAGACCAATTAAAAGTTTTCAGAGTGCCATGGGAAAGATTTTAGTCATCTGACAGAACTCTGTAGTTTAACAGGTAAGGAAGGAAACTGAGGCTCAGACAGGTTGTCCTTAAAGCCTTAGTTCTCTGTAACTTGTGCTCACTAGTGTGAAAAAGGCATTGAAGTTGTTTCTGTGCTAGATTCATGTGAATCCTGTTGTTAAGCCACACGCCCCAGGTTAGGTCAGGGTATTACATATGCCCCCAACACCCCTGACTTTTCTTCTGTGTCACTCACTACAACCGTGTCCACACAGTTACTTAACTGTTGAATTTTTCAGTTGCAATCTATCTTCCTCTCTACATTCCAGGTATTGTGAGGACAGGGTTTATATCTAGTTTGTGTTTTGCTATTTACCCAGCAGCTAACATGATGTGAAGCATCAAGTGAACATGTGCTATGCGTTGGTTGAATTCAAGAAAAGGCTACTGCCAAGGCCCCTACTGGGAGACTGTCTGATTTCAGAGTGAAAAAACATGTTCCTTGGGTGTTCTCCATAATAGTTGTGCAAATTTGGTACCCAAATAACTACCAAGGAGGGGCTGGTCAAACATTCAGGCCTGATTGTGAGTGGGAATTAAATCTCTCTTCCTAGTCATCCACAGTATTAAAAACTTTAGGTGCAAAGTCAATGTAGAAATTTTGAATAGATTTAAAGGTACACATGACTCAAAACTAAAAATGACATCGAAAGGTGTTTACTGAGGAGTCTCATGCTTACACCCACCAGAGGAAGCAATGACGTTCACTGTGTATTTTCCTGTGTTTCTTCAAGAAAACACAATTTCAAATAAGTGTATGTTTATGTATTTGTCACTGTCCAAATCTATTTGGTGTCTGAGCCCAGATAGTAAATAGTGAGAATTCCAAAGTGAGGATTTATCAGCAAATTTATCCAAAATGCAGTTCCTGAATTTGGACAGCATGTCTGCGTCAAGAGGACACATGTATTCATTCCCACACTCCCTCCTCCCTTCCCTGACCCAAAGGCAGTGTGCTCTGCACAGTGCTCCGCTCCTTGCTTTTTTTGCTTAGCAGTAATCCTGGGGGACACCCCAAATCAGGACATAAGCAGCATCCTCATTTTTATACCAGAAAACATTTAATCAGATGCCTATTGACGGACGCTCGCTCTGCTCCTAATCTTGCTCTATGACGGAGCAGGGATAAACGCCTGGAAGTGGGACTGCTGAGTCCAAGGTAAATACACCTCTAGTTGTGGTAAGTAGGGCGAATTTGCTCCTCATGGGCAGCAGGCAATCTGCGTTCCCACCAGCAACACAGGAGTTTCTGGAATGTCTGTTTCCCCATAGCCTTGCCGCATGGGCTGTTAAGCATTTGGACTTTTGCCAATCTGACAGGCATCTCCCACTGTGTCTGTGTGTCTCCTATTTATCACAACATGTGGTGATTTAGAGAGAATCGTCCTTATGAAGATTTACCCTCCAGAGCAGCTGCAATTCCCTAGGGGAAGGTAATGCTGAAAATAATCTGTGTATTCCAGAAACATATTTCAAAATACTCTGCTCTGCTCTTTCCTCATAATGGGGTTTCCTCTGGGTGCGGTGGGGGATACTATAACAACTAAGAAGTTTTTTGGGAGAGTTGAAAAACAATGATAGATGGTAAAGAATTCAATATGCTAGAAGTACTTACATGTCACTTGTCGGGGTGGGTTTTGGTGAGGGGATCGGTAAATTTGCTTCCATAATATCATTAAAACTACTGTTCCCTACATTCTTGGCCAGCTGTAACAGAAACAGACACAGCACAGCAAACTCATTACTACTGGTTTAAAGGTTTCCCATTATCTGCTTTTGAGATTTCTGAATATGTGCTTTCCCTCACTTGACTCAGGATACAAAAACCATCCATCCATCTGGTTAAGTATTTGCTGAGCACTTACTATGTGCCAGGCTTTAGTGATGAAAATAGGGAGATGGGAAACCATGTTCCTCCCAGAGGAGCTAATAGACTGAACGGACCATCGATAAGAAAACCAGTAATTTTTATAAATAAAGTGTGATAAATGCTATTAACAGAATATGACGTGTCCTACACATCTCTCACACACACACACACACACACACCCACCCACCCCCGATCATACCTCATTTTAGATTGAGCAGATTTACTCTTATTGGACAGAAAACAATTCAGGATTCCTTCATATTTGGGGTACAAATTAAGAGGTAGCAGGCAACTAATGAGAAAGCCCCAGTAAGCATTTTGCTTCTGGGTTCAAGACCCTTCCAAAAAATTTTATCCTGAAGGTGTCCTTTCGTCATTCAGATAATTTCTGGATCAATGTAAAGTTTAAGAAATATTCATGCAATCAGGTCTCTGGGGGAAAATCTTGAGTTCATCATATGGTGAGTGTTTAGGATTTGGACTCTCTCCATTTTTGGGTTTCATTAATCAAGTCAAGGAGACTGGTGACACAATTTCCATACTAAAGAGAAAGTTTCAGGTATTAGCTCTGAGCCTTTTCCCTACAGTACTGAAGTGATTCGTGTACTTCCTAAATTTCCTATTTCCTAAATTGAGGGGCTCCTACAACGAAAGATAGGCCATCATTGCTTAACGGATACTCAGACGACCAAGGCTGTGGCTGGGTGACTAGTTGCCCTAACTTTGGGGTACTGTGCTCCAGACAAGGCTAGTGATAATCGAGGCTTTCAGATTTTTGGAGCTCCAGGTTCTCTCATGTTTTGTTCAGGGGCGTTGGGTCTGAGGGAGCCTTATTTCACTTCAAGCACTTTCATTGTTAGTATAAACAACAATGAACTACACCACGTTCAAATTATGCAAGACAGGGCTTATGACCACAAGGCATTATGGGAGACGCCCAGGGGGCCTCCCTGACCTCTATTTGTGTACTGTGGGGACCAGTTTAACTTGGACCTGATGAGGGCTCTCAATTTGAGTGAATCATGATGGGAAGGGTAGAACTGGTTATAAGCACATGTGAGTGTTTATAACCCTTTTCCATATTATAAAGCTAAGCCCACACCTTCACACAGCTTTTCCCTCACCACCTAAAGAAGCCAGGGGGTAAGGAGTGATTGGGTTTAGGACAGTAGCTAACAGGCCACTCTCAATTCTTGTGTACTTTTAGAAACTTACAAACAGTAAAAATAGAGAAAAACTTTTTAGTCATTATATTTAAGAACATAAGCCTCTAGGTAAAGAGAACATGTAAGTATAACGCCTAACCTCCCTTTACTGTTTGTTAGTGAGTCGTGTAAGACAAATTCCAAAAGAAAAAATTGGCTTTGAAAAACCTCATCCCAGAAGAAAAGAGCCAGTTTAGCTGAACTAATTATGGAAACGTATGATTCACCAGTTCTTCAAACAGGAACCAGAAATAGTCAACATTACATACCACAAAATTTACATTTTAAATGTCTATTCAAGTTAAACAAAATTCAGGGATTAGAATTCTTTGTACTCAGCAGGAAAAACAACAACTCAAAGCAATATATGAAATATATTCATGACAATAAACTTAGTTTTCTTCCAAAGTACAGGTCACTACTTACCAAGAGTTCAGAAGTTCCTAGTTTGTCTAGCTCCAAAGACTGAATGCGGGAAATATGAACTCCCATTTCCCTGTGGATACCGGAACATTCTATACAGGTCAAAATACCCAAGTTGGTTGAAAGCCAGGTGGGTTCTGTGGAAAGGATTTTGAAGACAATGAACAAACAAGGCATCTAATTTTAGTGTGCCAGCTACAGAGGAAGCTAAAACAATAGTAGCAACATTTTAAAGGCTCATAAGGGGAAGATTTAAATGTAAGACACAGATACTTGCATTTGGCTTGGGGCTACTATGATAGCTTGTTAGAGAGCAAAAAGTGTGATAAGACAAGTTTTTAAAAATTTTCTTTCAGTACTGAATTGAAAACAAAATTAAGTTCTTTATTCTTGTGAAATGTGAGAAAGATTTTTCCTGCGTGGTTTTATGATACATCCTGAGGCCTGTGAGAGAGGTGCTCCCTCTGCACCAGCATCACCCCTGACAGGGACTGCAGGCCTGCGAGGTCCAGCTCACAGGGGACAGGGCTCTACAGCTGTCTTTTTTTAAAAAAAATATACCTTTATTGATTTCAGAGAGAGGAAAGGAGAGGGAGAGAGAGAGAGAAACATCAATGATGAGAGAGTCATTGATTGAGCCCACAACCCAGGCATGTGCCCTGACCGGAAATCGAACCCAGATTGGCTGGATCCTAGGTCGACGCTCAACAGCTGAACCACGCCCGGCCGGGCTCTACAGCTGTCTCTAAACTCAAGTTACAACTCACATTAGTGCATCGCCTCAGTTACAGCTTCTCCACAGCACCCCTGAGGAAGAGCTGTAAATACTGAACAGCACAAGTTTCTCTCAGAGACTGAAGACGTTGCTACAACCCACAGACTCCAGAACAGCAAGAGCACATATTTCTATTTCCCAAACCTGCAGGGTTCTCTCTGTGGCGAGCTCCTTTTTCATTGGTTAATACCCAAGTATTTACTACTCTCTGCCACTTCCTCACACCCAGTGAGTCACTACCACACACATCACAGAAGTAGTAGGAAATGTGAGACGTGTCTCTGAGGTGCCTATGGCATGTTGCATATAGAAGTCCATTTTCACAACCTGAACATCATATAATGTTAAGAACTACAGGCTTGCATTCATGTTCTGACCCCAACTAGATGTGTGACCTTAGGCAAGTCACTTAACTTCTGAGTCCCCAGTTTTCTCCTCTGTATAATGGGGATAATATTAGTGTCTTGCTCACAGAACTTCTGGAAGATTCAATAAGATAATATAAGCAAAACAACTAGCATAATCCTTACAAAGCACCGAGTAACTTAGCTACTGTCAATTTCTAGGTAACACATGCTAGTTGGAAACAGAAGTTTGGGGGGAGGTGACACCCATGTCTTATAGAGGTTGTGGAGTTTTCACTAGGCAGGAAGAAAAGTAATGTGCCACGTGGCAGCCACCATGTACATGAATTCATTAAGTCTTCATAAAGAACTGGGGTCTATTATCCCATTTTTAGGATGAGGAACCTGAAGATCAGAATAGTAAAGGGACTCAGCGTGAGGTCATCCAGGCAATGAACGGCAGGCTGGTGATTCAGAATCAGGATGATGGACTCCATGTCCAGTGCTCTCTCCATGCTGCCCAGGGTGCCATTTAACTGGACCTCACTAGGAAGGGTAGCATTTTGGCAGGTGAGCATGCAGGAAGAGCAAGTGGGAACTTTCCAGGTATAGCAAACAGCAAGGGTCATTCACACGGGGAACGTGTGTTGGGTATGCCAATAAGGACCTAAGGATTTTAAGTTACTAGCTCATTTGTCCTCCACAGTGAGAGGACAGATGTTTAACAAGACAGCTCCACTTCGGGGACACATACCTGATGAGCCACAGTCACAGCAGACGTCATTGCCGGGGAGCCGCTGGACGTCCTCGATAATGGCTTTGGTCAGGTCTTCCAGGCTGTTCTCCCCTGTGCTCTGCTCTCCACGGAAGGCCATGGTCAGGGCCTCTTCTTTGCTATTTGTCAATACTGATATCCATCTGTTGTCAAAACAGGAGGAAAGAGACACTGTTTTCTCCTTACACTGCACCAAATCTGTCCTCACCAAGAGACACCACTCTCACATAACAATAAAGAAAGGAGAAAATGAAAGAAATTAAACCTAAAGGAAAGAGAGTTAGAGAACAGAAAGCAGCACAGCAGAGAGACCGGGAGGTGAGAGGAACAGTTGAGAGAGCCAACGGTCACTATCGCCGGGGACTTGCATTAGCGTCTGGACAGAACAAAGCAGACGTCAGGAGGGGGAGAACTCGGCGAGGGACCAGCCCCAGGCAAGGATACGAAAGCTGGTGAGACATGGACAGGAGGCAGGAACGAGCTCAGCAACAGGCACCTGAACTCTAGGGGCAAGTCAGTGAGGGCGCTTGGAGTGAAGACAGACAGAGTATTTCGTTAGCAGTCATGAAAATTTATGCTTATGAGCCCTGGCGCAGTAGCTCAGGTGGTTAGAGCACTGTTCTGATACGCCAGGGTTGTTGCTCGATCCCTGGTCAGGGCACATGCAAGAATCAACCAATGAATGTATCCATGGGCAGAACAACAGATCAATGTTTCTCTCTCTCAAATAAACAAACAAACAAACTTACGCTTATGAAAAAGGTATATTAACATGGAAACATGCTGGCATTTTAATATAAAATAAAAAACGAAGGCTATTAAATTATATATATAGTATGAGCACAGTATGTACTAAACAAAAAAATCCTTTGCCACCAATCTATGCATAAAAAAACCTAAATGCCCAACAATAGGGGGCTGCTTGTTAAAGCATGAAACAACAACAAAATGGAATAGTTACTCAGGTATTGAAATGTAATTTTAACTAATTTTTGAATGACTTTGGGGAAATGCTCACAGTATGCTTGTGAAATAAACAGAAAAAACTGTTGTATGATATAACCCCAAATTTAAACATATGTATGGATTATGTATTTTTGCTTGGGGAACAGAGGCTAGAAGGAAACCCATGAAGTGTTAATACTGGTTGTCCCCGAGTCGTCTTATGTAGAAACGTGGCTAGATGGACTGCCTGACTCTGCCTTTCTGTAATTTCCTATATCTATAGGGAGCCTGTATCACTGAAGAAAAAGAGCCACATTTATTTTTTAAGAAGAAAAGGAAAAACATTTCCAAACCAGTTTGTTCTTACCCACTGCACAGACAGGTAATATCTATTCTCAGTAGAGAATACAGAGGTTCAGAACTGAGTCTGTAGTTTTTTTTGCTGTCTTGTAGGATCAAATGGCTATGAAACAAAGGACTACCTGCAGAAGGTTTTGAATTAGTAACAGAGACGGCAATGGACCTGCAAGTCACGCCTGTGACTCTAGGTGGCGCTCACCTTCAGTTTGCTGTGAGAAAGGCATTAGTAGAAAACACCTCAAAACCAACGGTCTAGGGATGGGGGGTGGGGGGTGTCACTTAATACCTTTTAAATTAAACTGCATTTTTTTCTATTGTTTAGTCTCAAGTTACAAACAATTTTTAACAAAATTGTTTTGTTAAAAATAGTTTAAGAGACTGGATTCAACAGAGCCAGTCACTGCATGTTACAGGGGCACTGAGATTGCAGGGTCTCTATTTTGCTTTCCTTAAGCATTATGATGCCCTGCCTATTTAATATTACAAACACCTACTATGTGCTAAGTACTTTTAATTTTTTAAATGTAATCCTCCCACTAGCCTCTCAGGGCCTATAATACTTTATACATGAGGAAACTAAAGCCCAGAGAGGTTAAACAACTTGCCCAAGGTTCACAGCTGGACTGGTGTCAGACTGGGATGAAAAAGCACTTCTACGACCCCTTTTTCAGAGTTCCTTCCATTATGCCATTTTTTGCCTCTTTATTCAAGAGCTCGTGACAAATAAATAAAGAAGTCTGTCATGATAGTCAGAAAATACATATATAAAGGACACTGAATTTTCTGGAGGAACAATTCAGATCTGGTGAAATGGAATGGCTACATTTCAAAAGTGCGGAGCATCAAAACAGCTATTTCTGACAATTAAAAAACACACACATTATTTTAAAGTAACAGACATACAAAAATATAAGAAATTAAAAAGTGCATAATTGTATTTCAACACTTTTAAAAGGGCAGAGCCAGGACCAGGAGTCAGGTAGGCCTGCCTTAAACATGCCACTGGTTTCCATTGTTCCTGCCTCCTTCCCTGGTGAGAAGTGGTTTCTTCCTTCAATTTCAATGGACACTTTTCCAGGAGAAAGAAACTCAGGTGCAGTGAAACTGCCTCCAATGTCCCTGTCACATCCCCACCAGCACTCAGAGCACTCCAAGTGCAAAATGTTCCGTAACTGCAGGATGGCCAGGCAGCCCTTTCACTAAGGGTGTGAGGTCCTGCAAGCAGGAACCACCAGCTGAGCTACCTGTAAGTCAGAAGAGTAAATAGCATACTAAAGGCCTGGGTTTGAAATACAGAACAAAGAAGAGGGCGTGCTCCCCCTGATCTGGCCACCTCGCCTCCCACTTAGGGCTCTGAGGAAGGGAAAAGAGAAGCAAACCATGAAAGAAGAGGAGAAGCAATGTTCCAACGTGGTTTTGAAATTCTGTCCAGGAAACTCTTCATGGAACTCAAGTCAGGGGTGCCCCATACATGTGACTGCCTGCTGCACCTTTTCCAGCAGGAACCAGTAACACCCATCACAGGCAGGAACATGGTCTGCTCGAATCACACACTAACTGTTACTTTCCAAGAGGGGCTTAAATAATCACCTAGTGTTCTTCCCTTGTCTTATAAAGGAGACTGAAGTTCCTAAAAGTAAACCGAGCGATGCCAACCAAAGCAGGGTAAGCACGTGGCTCGGACTTTTCAATCCTCTCACTTCTGAATTCCTTCCTATAACCTGTGGACTCTCGACTGCAGAGCTGACCACCTGATGGAACTAGCGATGAGCTGGAAATAGCGCGGGCATTAGAGCCAGAATTCCAATCACATCTACTGTTTTGAGTTTCATCTTCAAAATGGGGATGACTGTGCCAACCTTGTGGTACGTTTGAAATGATCAGGTGAGCCCCTGCTGCTTGGCTCAGGACAGGTACCAACACTGAGAGCAGCTGGATGTCCACTGGGCACTGGTGGACTTCTTTGTCTAATTTCACCATAAGACCCCCACTTGATGGCTAGGACTGTGACCACAGGCACACTGTGCCCTAGTTTCCTCATTTTTAAACTAGGGTCACAGTCCCTTCTTTCTGGGGTTGTGAGGATTAATAAGGCATGACACGATCACAACAAACATTACCTACTTGGGGGGTAAATATTACCTCCCTGAATCTGAGGGTGGAAGGCCGGCCCTCCTGACTTTTCCCATTCTTACCTGGTTTCTAGTCACCCTCCAGTTGGCCAACTCTACACTCATGTCTAGCTATCAACAGCTTCCTTTCTCTTCTTCCCTGTTGCTTCTAGGCCAGCAGAACCTCCCACCTAGGCGCAGTGTTCAGAACCTTCCCACACCTTCCCGTGCCAGCTCTGGCTGCTTACCTTTCCTCTTGGAAGTCATCTCTGAGCAACACCCCCAACCACCCAAGAAGGCGTGCGCTCAGTCTGTGTTCCCAGAGCACCTGCCTGCTCTGTCCCTGCACAGACACCTGCCCTTCTCTTCTGGCGAGACCGAGCTGCCTCCAGGCACCTCAGTACTATATTCCTGAAGCACTGCACAGGTCTCGGCATGCAGCTGGCATTTGTTAAATATTCAGATGAATGAATGATCCATAGACCTTTCCCCTTTTCCCCGTCTCTCCTACCTTTTCTCTCAGCCTTTTCGCTGTTTTTCCCAACTTTATATCCTTTGTACCCTTTTTTTGCTTTCTCTCTGATCCCTATCATTTCTCCCCAGAGAGGGGAAAAGAGTAAAATTCTCCAGAGCAGGGGGAGAGAGGGGAAGAGGAGAGAAAAGGGATGAGTGTAAGGAAACAGGTGTGAGCAGAATTCTGTGGCTCTATGGAAATAAGGAAGGAAAATAATATTTACTGTGTGCTATGAATGAGAGGAACTTAAAAATCCACAAACTACAAAAGGTTTAACTGCCAGCTCAAACTCAGGCACCCCCTCTCCCCAGCAGCTGAGACTGTAGCCGTCACACATGCTGTTTTCAGTCCAGCAGGAAAGAAATGGGAACAAAAATGGCTCCAGAACAGGGATGACATGAAAAAAGACCACCGCCTAAGGATGCACATCTGGTCACGTGAGGGTAGGTTCCAACCCAGGAGTGAGTGACACCAAGCCCAGTTCTTCCCCTCACACCAGGCTCCCTTTCATGGAGCCACGCTCCTCCCTTTCACAGAGCCCTGCCCCCCCCCAGAAGGTTCCTACCAATACTGTTCCTTCGGGGCCAGGCTTCCCTGCTCCCCATAATAGCAAGAACCCAAGGAGCCTGGCTCATGCACTTGGCCACCAAACATTGAGCATGACCCTCTAAGTGCAGACGATGTGGTTAAGAGACAGGAAGACACAGTCCTTATGCTTGGGAAGTTCTTGTCTCCAGGGGCTCGCACTGAACCAGGGGATCAAAGAGGGGTGAGAGAGGCTCCGGGGCTGAGAGGAGGGAGCAAACCCCCAGGATGGTGGGACTTGAGCAGAGTCTTGAAGGAGGCACCTGAGTTTACCGGGCACATTAGACAGAGAGAGAGAGAGAGCAGTGCATGAGGACCCAGAGGAGAGAAACTAGAGTGGGGAACCACCAGGAATGGTGCTCAGTCATAAAAAGAAATTGTTACGCATGTTGTGCAGGATGGAGGTGTGTCATGCCATTAGCTCAGAACTACTTACGCTATGTAATCCTGCTCATCTTCTGCCTGAAAGTGATACGTCCTATTATCTAAAATAGAAAAAAAATGTGAAACCTTAGAAAGCAGAATACCTTCAGGTCTAATGCAAATTTTACAAGTTCCTTAAAAAACGGAACAAAGACACACACACACACACACACACACAGACACAAATACCGCACAGTAAAAGTAGGATTCTAAAATTATTTTTGTTTTTAAGCCATTTTGCTTTAGCAGGTACACAATTCATGTTGCCAATACTCTTTTTCTGAATTGCCATAGGAATGCAATAAAATAACTGCAAATACCACTCAAACTTCTGGCACTTCTGAAAGACATGGAAGGCCCTACCTGACTGAGCGGATTCCAGCAACAACCTGCAGAGTGCTAGCTGCCAATGCAATATTTTAATTTTCATTCTCAACTTGCCTTTCATTGTTTCCTTTAAAAAATAATTGTTTTAGAAATGATTTCTAACTCACAGGGCAGCTCTGACAGCTGGGCTTGGTCTGCCCCAGAGAATTCTGCGTGGTTCTTCATCTGAATCAGGCTTCAGGGAAGAAGCTAGACCTCTGCTTGAAGGTCACCTTCAGACTGCTGCCCAGGGAAAGAGGGAGTGGCCTAATGTGGATAATTTGGGCACGTGTTTATGAGAGAAGCTCTTGCTTAAAATTCAGAATCTGCTAGAATGCTTGAACATATTCAGGTCAAACCAACCTTTACTTACTAGCCAGTCACGCACTATGAGGCTGCTCCAGGCTAGGCATTAACACCCGTCTCCTGGAGATGGGGTCTGTGTCCAAGAACAGGCGATGGGTAGGAGAGCCCAAGAGTCTCAGTTGAATCTCTACTTTAGTGCTGTATTGTATTTCAACTTCATTGTATTTGCACGAGTAACTGTATTGACCTTGTTTAAGTCACTGAACCTCTGAGTCTCAGTTTTCTGTCAAATAGGGCACTGACAGAGCTTTGTGAGGACTGGTGATAACGTACGTAAAGTACCTGGCACATATCAGATGTTCAATAACTGATGACTGTAGTTTCATGGCTCATACCCTCTGGGCTCTGAAATCCAGGCTTTTTGAAGCTGTATTCTAACCCTAACTTCTCATTAATAACCCCAGAAGTCACTTGGTCATAAAAATCACAGGGGCTCTGAGCTTCAATAGATGCTACAGAATCCAGCTGAGGCTCCCTGCAAAGAGCCTCCGGACTGATCCTGTCCTGGGGGCCAGGACTGTGTTTGGGCTTCCACTCACAGGATGTCAGGAGGATGTCAGGGTAGGAACGAGCTTTTGCGTCCTACACACAGACCATGTGCTCAGGCTGTGGGCATGCCCGAGGCTCTGTGGGGAAGGAAGGATGCTGAACGGCACTGCCGCAGGATTTCATTGTATTTGCACACATCACTGTATTGGCACAGCTTTTACAAAGAGGTGTCCCCTCAGCTACACGAGGGTTATAAGTGCAGCCATGGGACCGGTGCGGGCACAGGGAGCCAGACTGGAGGAAAACAATGTTCCCACTAACTCTGCGCAGACTGTGAGAATACAGGGTACAGGTCAGCAGGTGTCATTACACACCTCCATCACAAGAGAAAAGCATGCACTGACTCCTGGAGTGACAGAACAGTGTCATCATTCATGGAGTTTGAAGGCAGTGACGCTTGGAACCAAAGGAATAATTTTTCCTTTAAAAGCTCAAATTTGCAAAGATAAAAGTCTAAGCAAATCAAGGGTTCAAACAGAGCAGCACACCTGCCTTTCTGAGTCTTCATCGTTGCTTCTTAACCATAGGTACACCCAAGAATCACCTGGGGTCTTCCTACAAAATACCCGTGTCTGGCCTCACACCCAACACTGTGATTTAGCGGATACAGGGGAGAAATGGGCATGTACAAGAAAAATCTCTCTAAGGTGATAGAGCTATGTATCATGGTAATGAACTGGTCTAGTTTACTGTACAAGTCTAGGTTCTAGTCCGCTGCGTGTCAGATATGACACGGCTCTGCTCTCATTCTGAGGAGGTAGGCTCAGTGTAAATTCAGAGACCCAAGGGATCTTCCTAGAGCTGCGACTGTGGGGCCAGCGAGGAGCCCTGCTTGGAAGTGCTGCTGCCTCAAGGCCCAGAGGATGGGAGCAGGCAGCTGTCAGCATCCACAGCAACCATCGGGGAGAGAAAAAGGACTCACGTGAGATCAGGTCAAAAGACTTCTTGTCCTCGGCATTTGGTTTCACCTGGCAGGTGAGAAGGTTCAACTTCGCTGGCTGCCTGTTAGACTGGAACAGAGAAAACGGAGACGTTACTTGCAGCACCTTCCCCTCACCTGCAGGGTCAGTGCTCTGTGGCGCAGGCATGTGGTTTCAGGTGGTCAATTTGATGGTCTTTTTAGTTATTTCAATTCTTTGTTCCACTTACTTATGCATTCATTGGTTTATTCTTGCATGTGCCCCAACCGGGGATTTAACCTGCAATCTTTGGCACATCGGACAATGTGCTAACCAACTGAGCTACCGGGCCAGAGCCAAATTTAATAAAGTCTTATTTGGCTAATTGGATTCTGAAATTCATTAAAGAAGGAAAAAAATGTTGGTAGTCTACTAAATGTCCTTTAACTGCACATAAATAATATCTTGGTGACTGATCAGAATGGAACCAGGAAAATCCAGCTTTCAATGGGCATGGTCCATGGACCTGCACCTTTCTGGAACCCACGCACATCCAGGCACAAACAGTTGGCACTTCCAATCCTGTATCCTGATGTGAAATGTAGTGGAGTACATTTCATTCATTCATTCATTCATTCATTCATTCATTCATTCATTCATTCAAAATGGCCCCAGTCACCAATCATCCCAAACCTGATGTCCCAGGTATCCACAAGTTTTGGTTGCAATGTGCAATTTACATGACTTCTCTCAAAAGTACAAGGACAACCACCACTCAGGAGACGTAGCTTAATGAGCACCCACATCTGGAGAGACGGAAAACTGAGCCAGGGCTTTCATATCACAGATTATCAGCAAATCTCTTGGTCACATATATAATTCACACAGACCCTGTAGTATATAGATAGTCATGTTAATTTAGGCTTTGCCTAAATGAAGTCTTGCCCCGTAATCATTCTGGTCAGCACTTGTTCTTGACCTCCTGCTTGCATTTGCCCAAGGTCACACAATGGCCAATGCCGACGCTAGCATGTCTGTTTTCTGCAACAGCTGACCCAGGAGTGAAATGTCCGAGTGCCTGGGCTGGGCTGGGCTGGGCATGAACAGAAGCCCACTGACAATCATGATTCTCAAAATCCCCATGCCAGCAACATTTCCACCCAAGCAAATCAAGTTTTTGGGGAAAATGGGGAGGAGGAGATAGGGAGATGCCACAACGTGACCAACTGAAGGCCTGAACAACGGAGATGACATATGATCAAGACAATTCCAATGACATGCTGCAGTTCTCAGTATCAATAATGAGCAATGGACACTTCATTTCTGTCTACCTTCTGTGCTCTCTGAACAAGTTTCAGGATCTTCCTTCCCCTGGGGTTTCAATGAGATTAGACACAGAAAATAAGCCCCTTGTACCTATCTGCTCCAAAGCAAGCTGTCTGGGGGGCAGTGAGACACCCAAGGGATTTCATGTTCATTATACATGCATTTGACTTAGACATGGAAACCAGGAGAGTCCTGTATAGAAGAGCTTTGCCTAAGAGGAAAAAGTACTGGTTACAAAATCCAGAATGGGGAGGAAGGAGGTCAAGAGACTGGGTGTTTTTCTTAGAACAGACCTGGAGTTTGTGTTGCCAGAGGCCTCAGACTCCACACCAGCAGCTGCACCACAAACCCAAGCTTGGTCCGCTATAAAAGGAACAGTCAGTCCTGCAGCTCATCTTTTTGGATATTGATAAAATTGCTGATTTCCCATATGAATGAAAATGACAACTGATGGCCTGAAAAGGTAACGACAGTGAACGGGTCTACGTAGAACGCTATGCTCCAATTTGGCGTCCACGTTTCAAGATGGATGTAGAAAAGCTTAGGGAAGATCGAGAGATGATTAAAGGACTGGAAAATGGGAACTTTGAAGATGGTTGAAGGCACTATTTAGTCCACGGGAAAGATGGCTAGGGAGTGACTTAATAACCATCTTCAAGTACATGAGGTTGTTCTGGGGGAGGTGGGCAGCTGTTTTCCATCTGCACAGACCAAGAAAAAAGGCACTCAAATTGCAGAAGAAGATCTGAGCCAGACATAAGGAAGAACTTCCCAAGCATTAGTTGATTATGCATAATAAGAGGTTTCAGGTTTCTTAACCTAAGTAGAGAAACCTCTTTGAAAAACTTAAGAATTTTTTAGACACCATTTACATTTGAATGTGGCAGAGGGATAACTAGATGATGTCTTTTTTGTCTCAAATCTGCATTACTCCAGTGTTTCTGAACAACCTTACCAACAGATACAACCAATACAAAGCAGACAGAAAATTTTAAAAAAAGGAAAAAATACTCAAGTTCAGTATTCACTCATTCCAGAAAATTAAACAGCACCATTCATCTCGAAGCATGGACTACTTCAAAGCACAGTGCCGGAAAGCTTCTATGGACAAGGGTTTGATACAGTTTAAGTCATTTCATGACTGGATTCCCTGGGCAGTTTGTCAAGCCCACTGGACGGACTTTGCCACATCCACATGAACTTCACTGAACACAGACACATCCTGCCTAAGCAGAGTGTTTGTTCTTCCCCCAAATGTCAGTGTTCATTCTGACAAATGACCAATTACCCCGAGTGTGACTGTGAGGAGCCAAAACACACAATTTTGACTATCTAAGCAGCTGATACAGCCAGTACTGAGCCAGGAATACGAGAAAGTGGAGTGGGATGCTTGACCCCAGTCCCTGGACCAAGGCACCAGAAGGCCCAGGAATCACTACAGTAATAATAGTAATTCCAGATTTGTATAACTTCCCAAAATTTCAAAGTACTTTCTCAACATTTAGCGCTAATTTATAGGTGTATTGATTAAAGAAGGCATAATCTTTCCGGGCAGTTCAGCAGACAAAAAACATAGTGAGGCTAAATGACTTGCCCTGGGCTACATCACCATGGAATAGTTTAGAAAACAACTTCCATAGTGTTTAAGTACAGGAAAGAAAAATAGCAAAGATGGGAGAAACATGTATTTACTGAGTCCTTCCTGTTGATGATCCTACCAAGCAGAGAATAAAAACCTGTCTGCACCCTGACTTCCAGGATCCTGGGACTTCAGCTTGGGCCACTTTATCTGCTGCTCCCCCTGCTGGGCGGAAGGAGCACTGGCCTCCTCCCTCCTGGGGTTACTCTCTGCCTGTCCCCCTCTACCTCCAGGCTCACTCCCTCCAGGTGGCTCACAGTCCCCACGTCCTCAGAGGGTTTCCTGGCCTGACCACCCTCCCCTCCCACCCTGCTGCATGGCCTTCCTGGCTTTTATTACTTATTTGCTTCTTGTCTTTCTTCCCATTAAAAGCACACATTCCTGTTTTGTTCACTAAAATGTTCCCAGCATATAGCAGGCACTCAATAAATGTTTCTCGAATGAATGCGTGCAGGTGACTTACATATACTACCCTGGAGGGAAGTCTTTTTAGTTTCTTTTATCAAGTGAAGAGACAGAGGCACAGAGACGTTAACTAATGTTCCTATAATCTCCCAGGAAGGAGACAGCAGAGCCTGGGCTGAACCAGGTTTGAGTGGACCAAAGCCCCATCCCTCCTCCTGTGTCTGCCGTGCAGGGCAGGTCTGAGAAGACAGCCATTCCCTGTCCCTGGAATAGCGGGAGGCTGGGTACATGGGAACATCTCCCTCTGAGAAGAGTAAGGGTTAGAAATAGAGAAAGCAAAGGTGCCAAAGATTAACTTCTATTTTAGTATCTTCTTGGGTCATTTCATAATTGATGAAGAGAAAAATTTTAGAAGAATATTTTAAATCCCTATGCATTCATTTTGTAAGATAGCCTATTAAGCCTCTAAGCACGTATGAAAAACATGTGGTCCACGCCAGCAAGCAGCTCTGGGAAACAGAGCTGACCACGGACCTAGGATGTGCCGGCCTGAGCTCGAGAGCACCAAGGACTTGGACAGGCTCCGAGGCAGCGTCTGCCCACAGCGAGAACTGGCAGAGAGGACGAGTGCGCAGAGTGAGGGGGAGCAGGTGCAGGCACCCGGGGGTGGAGGGGACAAGGGCGGGAGGTGATGCTGATGGGGATGCAGGAGGGCACTGCACGTGGCCCTAAGGAGTTCACATTCCCGCCCCAGGAGCCCTGGCAATCCACTGAGGGGAGTTAATCAGAGCGAGCGGCCCATCAGACCTGCACTTGGGGGGCGGCTGATGGAGGGGCGCAGAGAGGAAACTGAGGAGCAATGCTGGGGGCCTGAGCTAAAGCCATGGTCATGGTGCTGGGGGCCAGGGACTCAAGACAGCTAAAAAGAGAGACTTGGAATAAACCACTCCTAAAGAAACCTCCACAGAGTGTGTGGACCCCCAGTCCAGGCCCTGCGCAGTGCGCGGAGGGCAGGCGGCACTGTCCCCACAGGTACCTTTCAAAAGCAGGGATGACATCTTCCAAAAAAGACGACTTTTGGGGGCTCCGTTCCCTGAAACTCTGAGGGCTACCCTTTTACAGGCTTTACTTTTCATTAAAATACAGCATATTCACTGAAAAAAACACTAGGAGACAGAGTGCGAAGGAGAAACCAAACGTGACTCGTCAGTCCCTCTCACACAGTCACTGTTCGTACCTTGATTTTAACAAGATGTGTGTATGAAAAAACCCATGCATCTCTGAAGACATAAATGTTAAAAAATGGGTTGGTTCCACTTGTATGTATTGTTTGGCAAATTGATTTTTTCCCAATTAACAATATATGCAGGTCTTTATTTTACATGCACGCACACGGCAAATCTATTCTCAAGTTTCTGGGTTTTGGAAATGTTTCCGGCAGGGAAGCACTGTACTATCCCTGGGACACGAAGCCCTGCTGCCCCACACAGAAAATGCCACTCAGCCAGCAAAGTCGTCCGACACGTAAGTAGATAAGAGTGTGGGAACCGAATGAGTCGATTGTGATGACTGCTTCTGAGTCCCCCGAGAGAAAACAAGCACCACACGCTTGTCCTTCCACAGCTCGGCAGGCACCAGCGTGGAGCGTTTCTGCTGGAAGTGCAAAGCCGTTAGCACAGGCCTACTGCTCTGTGAGCAGGAAACAGCTGCTACTGGAATGGGGACCGAGGTGATGTGAGTGCCCCATCCTCCCAGCTTCACAAACAAGAAGGGAACATCCTCAATTATCTGGGAAATAAGCTGGACCCAGTCAGGCTGCACTTGCTTTGTGGAAAGAGGTAAAAATAAAATAATACAGCTCTTCACTTCCTCTGTGAGGGCTTAGTAATGGAGCTGCACGGATTATGGCCATTTCGTTATCCTCGGTAATTTACTTAGACACCTGCCATGCCCTAGAGGGACATACATTTGGCAAGCAATCCACAACCACAATAAACTGCTGCAAGAAGTCAGGTACGTGCTGAACACCCACACTGCTCAGGGAACTTAGTCCCAAAATTTTAGTGCGAGAACTGGCTTTTAGCAAGCATTCTGGTTTATCTGGGGCAAGGGAACAGTTTTCATTTATTGCACACCAAACTGGCTATGTACGTTATATAACATTTCATTATTTAATTCTTGCAAACCCGAGGCTAGGTACTGTTACCACACCCACTATTCAGCTGAGGAAAGCAAGGGTCTGGAAGGCGCAAGTAAACTGACCATTGTTTTACAGAAAGTAAAAAGCAAAGCTGAGATTTGAACAAATTTCTTCCCAGAGCTTTTCCCATTTTTCATGCTGTGTTTCCCTGAAAAGGCAAGCCGTTGGGACATTTGTAGAAAGAGTGAAAAATCTTTCTTTTCTTCTCTTTCTGATTCTTCCTGCCCTTGAATGGCCAGCTCCCTCATTTTCCTTTAGATTCAATGAGGTGACACTAACAGCAATAATCACCATTAGTGGAGTGCCCATACTCAGCATGTTATCTCATTTAATCCTCCCTATGACCCTTACATGACAAGTGCTTTTCTCAGGGTCACGCAGCAAATGGGAAAATGGGGGTGCAGACTCAGCTGTGACAGATGCCACAGTTCACTCTCACAGCCACTGAACAGCACAGCTGACAGCTCTGTCATTGATTAGAGAGCCTTAGGAACACAGGGAAACAGTTTGGCCACAGTAATGTGTTTGACAGAAAAGAAAAAGGGAGTGTGGAAGAGAACTTTTTAAAAATTTTAAACAAATTGCCTGAGTCAAATAACCACTAGCAAGCAGTACCACTAACACTCATCAACTCCGTGACCTCTCAGCAGGTTCCTAAGAAAGGCAAGTCCATGGGCCATGGGATCAGGCCACAATGTAACTTGGCAAAATGCTTACTGAGGACTGTCAGAGCCTAAGGAATCCAACAGAATACAAGGTACAGAGAATTAGGGTACATACAGCAAACCTCTGACTACAACTCCCGATCTACACAAAGTCAGATGATCAGAAATTTTCACGTTAGTATAACCTGAAGAAGACTCCAAGGAGTGGAGAAGTAATAACATTTCTGCTCACACACTATTCAGATCCAATGAGGGCCATACTACTTAGACCCACTCAGCTAATGACATCGGACAGTGTCAGGCCTGTGTCTGCTCAGGGAAGCTGACTGAGGACCAGGCACCATCACATCCAGGCAACCGCTGACCCCATCCATGTTCTGTCTACACCCGACGCCTTTCTCACGACCCCAGTTACCTGAGGAGCGCTGGTGGTCTAAGTACGCCAGGCTCTAAGGTCTGCAGACCACCCAGGTGCCTCTGGAACCCGCCCAGCAATAGCTCAACCTTGTAGCTCTCCAACTGTGTTACCCAGGAGAGGCCACATTGAGGTTTTTACCCCCAAAGTGCAGGGCTATAAGGGCAGAACACCTCTCGGAGTCACACCCTGCTTTGGGCCATTGGAGAATTTACCTGTACGTACAGGCACGTGTCTCCTCTTCCTCCCCTCACCCCTGACTCCTGGGCCCTCCTGGTTCATAGCTAACTGTGTCTGTGACGGTACAACCTGGGACCCCAGGCTGGGGAGGAACTGGGGCTGGAGGTGAGTGGAGTTAATGTATTGGGGTGTGTGAGAGAGTCTAAGAACAGAGTCCTGACCTATACCAGGCTCTCAGCTGTGCTATCAGCTAGTTGTGCAGCCTTGGTAAGCAAACCTCTCTGAGCCCAGGGACCTCATCTGAAACATGGGGAGCGTATAGTCCCCTAAGATGATGGGTTTGGTGGGATGGGAGGCTGAACGGAAGGGGCACACAACCTCATGTTAGACAGCCCAAGTTTGAGTTCCCGACTCTGCCGGCTATCAGCCAAGTCACGGCGCTTCTTTGTGCCTTAGTTTCTTTGTCTGTAAAATGAAGGTTACGTAGGATTAAGTGAAATAAAGTGTTCGGCATGAAGAAGTGCTCAATAAGCGGTACTGTCTTTCCTCAACAGCGGGACTGTGAGCTAAATGCAACTGTGAATAATGAAAATCTGCCAGTGTAATAAATGCTCACCACTCATTTCTACTCTCCTGTGAGCAATGAGCTGCCCCTCATCACTGAGGGCATCGCTGGCACAGGATGCCAAAACTCACCCACCCGCCTCTACTCCACACTGGCCTCCTGGGTTAACCTGTATGAATCTTTGTAAAGACTCTCAGTACTTTGCCATTTCCATTCCTACTTGATACGGTTTCCACTATAATGCTGAAGAGTTAAAAAATAATTTCTTGCTAGTTTTAAAGGGCAAAATTGTGATTACTGGCTTTACTGTGCATGTCTTTGACTACCACCAAAAGTGAAACTTTCTGACAAGTATATAGATTTTGTCAAGATAAGACTTTTAGCTGGAAATGGGGGATGCAAAACAAAAATAGAAATACTAGACAGATGACAGACATCAACTACAAGTATGTAAGATGTACGTACATTCGCTGACAATCCGAAGATAAACAGAATGTAAATGTTAATAGCTTAGCTATTTTCCACTTTCTATTCAATTGCCTTTGTTACTAAAAGAGGGGGGTCATGACTGAGACAATTTTATTATTCACTGTTCTATTTATATACCCTTTAACATAATGATGGGCTTTCTGAGTAATTTAAATAAATAGTAACGTTAAAAAAGACTGGACATATTTTACATGTTGTTTCACTTCCTACATTACCTTTTCATGCAAAGGACATCCCCTGTCATCTTTATAATTCAGAAAACTAGGTTTTCATGACAACCAAAAATATTATCAAATAGGAAGATAACTGATTTGGTTTGAGAACAGGAAAGAAATTCTGGTGGAGCGACGGATGAAGCAGGGCAGACACCGCAGGACAAGGCAAGACCAATTTCTCTTGCAAAGGAATATCCGAAACTATCTGACCCGACTCCACACATCAACATGCCGGGGGACATTCTGGTGCCGTGACAACATGTTAGCCAATTTCTAGTGGACGCAGTCGCAAGGCAGAGCAGGCGAGCGTGCGATCAGGTACCTACCGTGGCGTGGGAGATGGTCAGCATCCCGTTCTTGACGGCGCACTTCCTCCTCTGCCACACCTTGCGGATCCTGCAGAGCAAGTCAAACACAAGCTGGCTCAGTGTCTGGCCACCTCGGGACGTGCAGTGACACGGTGTTACACATAATCATTAGAAAACAAAACAACCCAACCCCCAAACCACACAAACCAGAACGCTTTGGTTGCCTTTTATTATCCCAGATGGAGGTGATGTCACAAGGATGTGAGTAACAGCACTGTTTCTGATAGTGAGAACGGGAAACGACAGAAAGGTGGGCATCTAATAGCAGGAACATGAATTAAAACACTATGGTCACATTCACAGCACAGAGTATTCTGGAGGAGTCTAAAAGAAGTTTAAAATCTAGAGATATCTAAAACATACTGATTGAAAAAAGTAACTTGTTTTAAGGTAATTCACGTATGATCTTGTATTGTTTTTTTTTAAAAAAAACCTCCAAAAATTTCAGACATCTAAAACAGCACTCTAAACCTCCTATGGGTAAAAAATCTGTGTGTAAACATAAGGAAGAGGGCCTGGAGAGAAGCAGCCGCACTCACACTCACAGAAGACCCTCTGGGAAGGAGGCCCAGGCCTGTATTAGGGGTGGTGCTAAGGAGTTTTTAACCATTTCTGTAACTCTTACACTTTGAAAATTTTGATAAAAGAATGGAAAGGATGTTGCATGAAGGATGAAAAAAGCCGAACAGAACTAATTAAACTTGGAAGAGTTCTTTTGGTGAAGCTCCAGGTACAGGTGAGGGACTATGTGTGGCAGTTGGCACACGGGCAGCAGGTACAAATGCACTAGTTCAGACCATTTCCATCAGGAAAATAGAAACGTCCAGGGGAACAGGATCCTTCAGGTTAGAAGGCTGCACAGGCCTTCTGTTGCCTTGGACTCAAACAACATCAGAGGAGACCACTGTAGCTTCTCCCAGCATTTAAAACAGCATCGCCTTGTGGTTCTTTTTCCTTCCTCAGTCCTCCAGCCAGCACTCTAACCACTGAGCCAACCGGCTAGGGCTCCTTTTCCTTCTTAAATCAGTCCGTGCCAAACCTGCCACAATGTGAACTTAAATCTCTAAACACAGATATAATACTGGCCTTGTTTGTTCCAGAGCGTGCTTCACAAAGGGCGATAAGAATCTGACACCATCTGACCTGAAGTAAAGTGAACACGCTGCTCAAAATGCTAGTCCCTTCTCCCCCGGACCTCTGTTCAGATAATCCTTTCACTTCTCCAGGTCTCCGCTCATTTCACCTCACCAGAGCCTTCCCTGGCCACTCTCGATGACAGTGGGAACCCCCACATGCCCCATATCCCTTGGCTTGCTTTATCTTTCTGGATGGTGCTTGTTACCATCTCCCTCCCACACATTTCCTTCTTTATGGTCTGCTCCCCCCCCCCCAGTGTAACTCTAACAGATGAAGGCCTCTTGTTCAATGCTGCTCCCGGGGCCCACAACAGTGCCTGACACAGAGCGGGATCCAGAAGGAATCTGCTAAATGCAAAGCAGAACAATGAGCAAAACCGACACTGATCCCAGAGTTTTATGGGAGAAATATTTGAATTTTAACGATCAAGTTAAAACAAAACAAAACCTGGGTGCAGTTTAGATAAAGCCAAGGATCACAGCCCACAAGCAATCAGAAAACAAGCAGCTTTTTAAAAAGAATGACAATTGTTCAAGTGAGTAATCACAATTCTACTCATGCACTTATTGTGAAGCAGGGTCATTAGCTCTAGTAAGAGGGGGAGGGCCAGTGTGGCAGGACCAGGGGGGCAAATGATGCAGATGGGACTGGGGAGAAAGGCGGGGCAAGAGCCTCCCAGCGACAGGAAACATCGAGCATTCCACGGTGGGTGGGTGACCTGATGCACTATACGTTTTTTAGAAGGCTACTCAGAGTGCTGTGTAGAGATGAACTGGAGAAGGGGATGAGCGAGTGAAAGACACAGAGAGACCAGTTGGGAGGCTACTAGAATAGTCCAGGACAGATGGAGGTGGCTTATCCTACAGCGGGACAGCAGAGATGGAGAAAAATGTGTTATTTCTTGTTAGATATTGAAGGGGCTGTTGCTAAACTGGCTGTGATGTAAGAGGGAAGATAGGAGTCAAGGGTGACTCCCAAGGTCGGGGTCTGGGTGGACAGGTGGGCTCCCAGGCAGAGAATACTGCAATGAACAAAAGCAGCGGTGGGCGAGCAAGAAGTCCGCAGCCCACCTGCTTGCTTCATGGTCTACTCGGTTCCTGCCTTCTCAACACTGCACATCCCAAGTCACAGGAACCATATAGGGAACATAAACAATGACCACTTCCTCTAAAGACAGCAGGTTCAATCTCAGCCTCAGCCTAGGAAAACCAGTGTGCTGAAGGCCTGGAGCAAGCGCTTGAAAACCTTAAGTGTGCTTCCCTCCATGGGAGGCAGGAAGAGGTCCACAGGTTGCTAACGCTCAGGAAGCGCGTTAAGGCGGGGACATGAGGACAGGCCTGTACCTACCCATCACTTTTCTTCAGCAGGTACCCCTTCTTCTCGCTGCCGTACTCCTTATTGCCCTGGAGCTGGTGCATGCTGTATCCCCCCTGCCGGCTCTGAGAATCCTAGGAGAGACGACCCACAGGTTATACACATGCTGGAGGCACTTCCCAGATCCCTGCCTCTGACCTGTGGCTGAGCCTGGCCCACGGATATGGGGCTAAGAATCAAGGAACTTGAAGAGTGGTCAGGTCCTTGCCTTTGTTTTAGAGGAGGAAGCGCGGCAGGTACACAACTGCCAGAGTCACAGGCCAGTTCAAGGCAGAGCTGGGGCCTGGTGTCCAGGTCTCGTACTGCCAGCTCAGAGCCCAGCTCTGCTCCAGACATGCAGGGGAGACTCTCCTGTGACTAACCAGTTTACACAGCAGCGAAGGCAAGCACAGGAAGGGCTGCAACTCAGGTGGCCTGCAAAACCAAGCTCATGCCACCTGAAAACCGTGCTTTTCCCTCAGGTACAACCTTTTCCCTTCTCATATTCTGCTGGAATACACACGATAAAAAGAGCATCTTTGGAGCAAGGTATTAAGAATTGCTATAAAGGTCTTGTTTTGTAACGAGTCCTCTGCAAAACAGACCTATAACCATACTTTTAATGAAAAAAGATGATTCTATTGCAGTGACAAGCATATTATGCAATGAAAAGGGCGACAAGGTCAACAGAACACACAGATGCCAACAAGTCTGACGTAACATTAGCACTCCCCTGAGCTTCCCAGTGTTTGTAAAGACTGCCCGGCCAGACAGCCGCTACTGTGGAAGTGCAGGGAATGATCTATAATGTGAGCTGAACAAGGAGAACACGGGGCTGCACACACAGAAATAGGACAATGCAATCTCACAAAAAGCAGTGACTTACTCTCCTAGACTTCGATCAGGAAGGGCAAAAGCAACAGAGAAAAAAGGCAGAACATTTGAAAATATAGTTAATTTCATTGACAGTCTTATCGCTCATAATTTAAGCACTTTTTATAACACACTGAGAAAATATTATAAAGATAATACTAGAACGAAGTCAATATATACATGCATATTTAGAACCATGATAAACTTTGCCACAGTAAAATATCTATATTAAGTTTTATTTCAGGTCATTTGAGAACAGAAAAAAGGCTAAATGGAGAAACATGAGGTACACACTCCCAAGATAACACAGCTGACAAACCTCTCAGTGTGTGCACAGGGAATCACCACCCCAGTGAAACCCAAAGAGAATTACTTAAAAAAATCTAAAAAAGAGCCACAGCCCTGGCCAGTGTGGCTTGGTTGGTTGGAGTGTCATCCCGAGCACCGAAAGGTCATGGGTTCGACTCCTGGTCAGGGTATGGAAGGCAACCCATTGATATTTCTCTCTTTCTAACTCCCTTTCTCTATCTCTATAATCAATGAAAAACATATGCTTGGGTAAGAATTAAAAAAAAAAAAAAAGAGCCACAAATTTCAGGAGGATTCTTTTTGTTTTGTTTTTCTGAGCGAAGAGAAGTTAATAAAGATATTCACAGCAGCCCCTGAAATGTGATGGAGAGGCAGGGGCTCAGTGAACCTGGTTATCTATAATGTGGAGATATTATAGATATCTGTACTGATGGCTGGTGCAAAGAGTGCCTTCGAGGGCAGGACAGCTCCCCTTTAAGGCTGTTCTGCACATGATGAGTTCCATGTTCAAAAGCATGTCTCGAACACCTACCAGCCAGGCACTGAGGACACTGACAAGAACACAGCCGTCTCTGAGGTGGACACTCCTTCCCCACTCACCGTGCTCTCCCGCGTAGGCTGAGAGAGCTGACTACACCCTTCCAGGCAGCTGAGTCTATTAAACAGGTTACAAACTCTAGTCATTCTCTTAACCTGAGTTGTTTCTGTCTTTAACCGCCTCATTCCCTGCAGTGAAACACACCAGGGCCCAGAGCCTTGAACCCCACTGTGGTTGGCTGGTGCTGGCCTCCTTGACAGGTGCTTTGGTGCTTTCTGGATGGAGATCTGACTGAGGGATGGGCAGAGAGCAGCCTTCCTCTACCAGTGCCTCTGAGTCCCGGAAACAACAGTACAGACACACGTGGCTTCTCTGAGGGAGACAGCAATGTGTCCATAATACTAGTAAAGAACAAATAGGATGGAGAATAAATGGGGCTGGAGAGCCAAGTTGGGGACAAAGCACACGGCTGGATACTGAAATCCAGAGCTGCCTGCCCGAGCCCAACAAAATCGTGTTAAAATTGCTCAGCTACAGATTTGGACTCTTTGCCATATCACTACCTTCAAAACATTAAGGATAAAATCTAAACTTTCCTTGGATTTCAATCCTTACTAAAAGAAGACCTCTCTCCCGGCCGGCGTGGCTCAGCAGTTGAGCATTGACCTAGGATCCAGGAGATCGCGGGTTGATTCCCAATCAGGGCACATGCTGGGGTTGAGGACTCGATCCCCAGTGGGGGGGTGGGGTGCAGGAGGCAGGCGATCAATGGCTCTCATCATTGATGTTTCTCTCTCTCTCCCTCCCTCCCTCTCTCTGAAATCAGTAAAAGACAAAAAAAAAAAAAAAGACCTCTCTTCGTTGGAACCCTTTTCATTGAACTCAACTTCTCTTCATCTGCCCACATACTTCCTGGTCTGTGGAAATGCTTTAAAATTATGCCTCTCTAACCTCAATCCACTTGCTAACCTTTAAAATAAGTTCTATGTTTCAAAAATGAAAGTACTTATGTTTAACAAGGATTTAGATGCTGGTAACTCAGGAAAACGATTATATTCTGTAAGTGTATCAAGACATTCCTTACGTGTACTTATTACAAGCCTAAGTAAACTCTAAATTCTGAATAACGAACAGATTGAATGGGCCTTGCTTCCCATCAGACAAAGATGCTTTTAAAGGTAAAGGAAATGGCTGAACTCCAGGCTTTGACCTCAGATGACTATTCCATTAAACTGAGTAGGGAGGACTCAATATACTCCAGAAGTCTAGCATCAAACATCCTAAATTAACTACTAATGAATTTTATTGCTTAAGAAAGTCATACAAGTTATTATTTTTGCACTTTGAGGAATAATGGTCATTCAGCTTGCTTAGCAGGGCACTCAAGGTAAACGAAAAGAGGATTTTCTTTTCTGAGAAAGTAAATCTTGGAGAACTGTTAACACTAAAATAAATAAAAACAAAACAAAAAAAACAAGACCTAAGGAATAAAATAGGTTCCAAATCTTTTGCCAGCATAATAAAAATTAAAATGTACTGATTTTTGTATTCAAGAAAAAGAAATGCAAGTAAAAAAATCATTCAGGCAAAATAACACAAAACTAAACTTAAACAATGAATTTAAAATAAAATCTTGGGGAGATTCCATGATGTGAGTCAAGAGATATAAGCTGTAGAATGAAACATGGTATTATTTTTTAGTTCAATTTCCCATTCTCTACTGGCAGCACAAATTACCTTTCTCATTAGAAAACCTTATAATGCATTATTATGAAGAAAAATCTCCAATCTTTTTAAACTGCAAGCATTACACACTCATTGGTTTAATGGGGTCATAAATGTTTCTGGCACCCAATCTGAAGCCAAACCTCTATTAGAGAAGCTTCCAATCTCTAATGCAAAGAATGAATGGAGCAGGCACAGGACTCCTTCTGCTTCATCTTACTAAATATTTACTGAGCAGCCTTGGGTGCCTGGAAGTGTGCCAGGTGCTGTGAAGACAGAGATGAGCAGAGCCCAGAATCTGTCAGACAACCTGCAAACCACACAACGATGGGCTACCAAGAAGGACTCACACAAAAAGCTGGGAGTCTGGGAATGATTTATGGACATTATCTTCACAAATATTTTTTATATTTTATTTTTTGGGGGAGGTTGAACTGCTATAAAAGCTTAAGACAATTAATTTCATAGAACATCTGCCACAAATCATTAAATGTTTTATTTTGACATGAAAAAAAGGGAGTCTATCAAAAATCTGGTGGTCCTATTTACAACTCCAGTTCTTGAAGCTGCCTTTAATGGCATCGAGTTAGAACCTGGTGGTGGGGGTGAGGGTGGTGAGGGGTGAGGCTGTTCAATGATTTCTTGGGTGCCTTAATTTCTTGGGTCATTCTTTAGATGACTTTACACTGTCCTGGAATCGAAACACTACGGTGAGAAATCTCAGGCCAATAATCTCCTTTCATATTTAATGGAAGTATTTAAAAACTACTACCTTCTCAACATATTTCGCCACGAGAGATGATAAACAGTATGAGAATAGACTAGGCATGCTGTGAAAGATCAGTTTTACTTGTAAAATACTCTGGACAGGGTGCTAATGAAAACTCATCATTTATTAATTTGGCATGAAGTTAAGATCAATAAAGCCATGTGCATTTCTGCATGGACATACTCCTTTGGCTTATATGCAACTTTTCCTTTACTTAGCATGAGCAGAATATATCGGTCTCTATGCAAAACAGGAGACTGTAATAGTTTTTTCTTCCTAGAAAGATTCCATATATAGGAAGGAAATAATCCTGTGTGACAAAACAAAAGTAGGAAGTGGTTAAGGGCATACCAGTCAGTATAAAACTTTGCAAATTTCTCTCTGGACAGAGATCTACCTCTTCCCCCCACAATTTGGATCTTTCTATTGCTCTTATGCTGAGCAATCACACCCTCAAGGAGGCCTCTCAGGCTGGTGCAGGTGCTGGCTGTCGCTCTGCACGATGTGGGTGCAAAGCACACATTACTCTGGTACTGACTCCTTCGTCCACAGGTGAGCAGGAGCCCAATGTTAAAGGGCTATGAACTTCTCTCACTTCACAAATCCCAACATGTGTGTAAAAACTGGAAGGAGAAGAAGAGAGGGCTCCAGCCGCTCAGTACAGACAACCTTAAGTATCACTGGGCAGGGTCAGTGTTGCTCGGCAGGCTTCCCACGTTTGAGGGGGTTCGCTTGGACTCATGAATCCCTTTCAGAAAGTTTAGGAAATTACAAATAGTTTTCCATTGTGAGATATGAGGAATTAAAAATATAAAAAACGCTATATTTTATGATTATTATTAAATACTGCATTTAGAGATTACACTTAAATTCCATGCATAATAATTTCATAATATAAACAGGCACGTTCCCACCTTCTCCATGTAACAAATGATGCTCACTATTTAATTCACCCGTAGCATGACGTCCATGCCCTGCAGTGTGCATCTAAGGTGCTCTGTTATCAGGCCTGAATTTTCACCCCAGAAATGGCATCTCATGCCTCCACCCACCTTACCCCAAACTGTCGCCTGCTGAAGATGCCAGGTAGTTCTTCATCTCTGTGTCTTTTCAGGTATGACTGCTTATTCATATAGCTGATGCTCTCTCTCTCTACCAGATAATGAACTCCATAGTGGAAGGGACTAATGCTTACTGCCTAGCACAGCCACTGGCACATAGTAGGTACTGCTAATTAAACGTCTGAACAAATGAGATTTATAATTAAGAATCTGAGCAGTAAAATTACATCTACCATGCTTTGTACACTCCACTTTAATATCCAAGGACTCTCACCTTCATTTTCCTAACTAGGGGACCAAATTTCTATAGGATTGTGCCTCAGACTATTCCTCTACTTCCCTGGCAAAATGAGACAGCCCTCCACCTTTGGCTGCCCAGAGAGATGAGCTAAAGAGGACAGGGGTGTGCATGTCACTGCCTCTCCTTCCACATTCTGAGAAGATACACTCCTGAAATACAAATCTGCCAGGGCAGAAAGTCCAGTCATGGAGCTGTAGATCGGGGCTCAGGACATCTCTTCCATGAGGAGGGAGGGAAACTAACACACGGTTTCTACCCTGGGCAATGCGGTAGGTGCACCCTTGTGTCTGGTTTCTGCTCTGCCCCACAACCACCCTGGCAGGAAGCTGTCAACAACCCCGTTCTGCAGGTCAGGAAGTGCCAAGGCCATGACCAGAGGCTTGCCTACATGGCTAGCCCTGCTGGGAACAGCACCTACTTCTTTCTGATCAAGCTGAAGAGAGGATTTTATTAAGTCCCGGAGTGCAGTTAGCTGCTTCTTTTCTTCATCCTGGGTCTGCTTTATCTATGGGAGAAAAAAATTACTCTGTCATTTATCTTTTATACATTTACAAACCGAGCTTCATTCACCCAGATATACTACTCATCAAACAATTCACTAATATAGTTGATTTCCTCACTCAAATCCTTCACACGGTATCATTTTTAATATAAGAGGCACAATTTTCTCATCTTAGGAAGGTACCAGTGAGTTTTGAAATGAGTGACTAATGCAACATGCTTTCTTATTAAATAATACATCTAGGCTAGATAATTAACTCTAAAGTTCCATTTTAAACAAAGTTAAGATATAACATGGAGTCTCTTGCTTTTGTTTTTTCAAAAGGTGGTAGTGAGAATACCACGATGAGACTGAAGGGCCAGAGGAAAACCCTGAGGACCAAATGCAATGGGCTCACGCATATGGGAAGGTTTACAAAGTACACACGAGGGCAAAGGGCTGCTGCTCTTTAAACACTTAGAGCTTTATCACAACCAGAACCATGCTAACAAGTAAAAGAAAATCAGAAAAAAACCAACAGCTATATACTTTTTAAAGTTATATAAAGACACAGGGCATTATCTGTAACCTTAAAACCTTATTTGAACATAAGAATTTGCACTCACAAAACATATATTTTTAATATTATTCACTGCCAAGCAGTTTATGGGAATCAAGGTGGACATTTAAACATGTGCATTTAGTTTTCTTCCTCAGGAAAGCTTCCTTCAGATTTTGCTATTATAAAAGCAAAACCTAGATATGAGAAAAAAATAGGCAATATAAAACAAGCAAGCCAAAAAAATTCATACCCTTACCTACTCAGAGACAATTTTTAACCTTTCACGATCCAACGTTCTTTTTGCAATTGCTGAGTGAAGGGCACCCATGATGCTACTGAACCTGAACAGAGAGTCACCTAGAAGCATCCCCTAGACTCTCCTCCCTGCTCCTCCTTTGCACCCAAAACATACTCTGGAACATTCCATCGCTGACGACTTCCCTGCATGAAACTGAAGGTTCATCTGTCTTCATTCGGACACACCACTTAACTAGTCTTTTTTTCTTTAATACTTTCCTATACAGATTTCAAATTTACTGATACTTATCTACAGAGCAAGTTAAAATGCATGTATTTTATAAAGAACTTACATTATATAAATCAGTAGCCAGTTTTTCAATGTACTGTTTCAATTTATCAGCCGTTTTCAAGCCGTCTTGAAAGAAACTACAATGGAAAACATCAGTTACCAGCAGTATAAAAATGAAATGACCCATAATTGTCTGAAAAATCCAAAAATCCTTACATATTTACTCTCTACCACATATCTACACAAAAGATGTGTAAAACAAATTTCAGTATTTTTTAAAGAAGCGCCAACAGACACTTATGGAAGCACTACCGGCAGGTGCTAGCAGACATCACATAGACAATGCAAATTAGTCGCTGTCTCACACAATGACCTCATGATGTGTTTGCTCTTCTACACACAGAACAGCTCCCCCTGGTTGTGCCTCATTTGAATTCAAGAGAGAGACGGGGACACATTAACCAGTGGGGCATCATGAAATTAACTCTAAAAAGAGATGGGATGGAATGAGAAATAGAGGCTGGACACAAGTCAGCATTCGTTCAGTTCCCCAAAGGTCCCCGTGTTCCAAACACACATGAGACGCAGGATGTTGGGTCAATAGTACTGGCGGACCTGAAGGGCTTTATCCCACCACGAACATGAGAAGGTGCTTTATTTCACCCTGGGAGATAAGCCCAATGTGGCCGAGCATTATCCAATGCCCAGCGAGCTTGGCACTTCCCATGAATTATTGAATGAACTCCTCGCAACCAGCCCAATGAGTCAGTAAGTGCTTCAATCGCATCTCCAGTTCAAAGGCAGAGTGAGCCGTGACTTGCCCAAGTTCCTCATACAACTAGGAAGTGGCAGAAACGGGATTCAGGTCTAGGTTCTGATTCTGACACCCTGTGCTTAACTACCCAGTGAAGATATTTCTTGTCTGAGCATGTCTACTCGGGAGCCCATGTGTTTCAGTGTCTTGAAAGCTGCCCCCACAGCAGATTATTTCTCAATACACNCTAGAACTTTCTCTACTGTGTTGAAAGCTGCCCCCACAGCAGATTATTTCTCAATACACTTTATCTGTGTTGCTGTCGCCCCACAAAAGGATGAGATCAGTGAAGATGGGGACTGTCTCATTTCCACGTCCAAGTGTCCCTGGCACAAAGCAGAGGCTAACTCAGTGGTTAGGAATGAAGCATATCTTTTTAGGGCTCATATCTTGGGTTCCATATATATATTCAGCTTAATGTGTACAGTCAATGGTAACTGGACAACCCCATCAGAACAGGCCATCAGGGTGATTACTGAACTCCTACAGGTTCCAAAATTCTTTGAGTCTCATCTTCAGCGAGAACCCTACTGAAGTGAGGATGAGAAACACTATCTTCAGAAAGTTATTCAGCAACAGGGAGCCGTGGAAAGAGGGCTTTTCGGTTAACTATTAACTGGAAAGCTACATTTAAACCCTTATCTTCCAACATCCAGCTGTTCACCATTGCCTATGGAGATGAAAGTTAAACAACTTGGCACAGCATTTATGTTCTGGACCCCGAATATCTTTCTGGTTTTATCTTCTACTAGTTTCCCTCAAGAACTCTGGGCTCCACCACGCTACATTATTTCTAGTTGCCCCTCCTGCCTTTGCACACACTGTTCCCTCTGCCTGAAATGCCCTTCCCTGCCAAACTCATTCTCTTGTCGCTCAGCTCACTTGCTGCCTTCCCAAGCAGCTATCCCTAGTTTTGCCAAGGGGAGGGCATCTTATCAGCATTTGCTTGTGCCCAGGCCTAAGTGCCAGCCCTATAGCAGCTAGCAAGGTTCTGCCCAGAGCAGGCCATCCCTAAGCTCACGGCGTCTAGCACGGTCCCATCCACAAGGCAAGACACGTCTTCCTTAGAGCCAGCATCTTCTACATCAGGGAAGCGTGGCTACCACATCAATCACAGCAAAACCAATTCTGTTCTCTGATACTGCACTTAAATAATTTCTGGAGAAAGGTTCTGAGGGTAGAACACTTCCGTGTTAGATGGATGCTGTCAGGACGTCTTGCAATGGAAAAGGAAGGGCTCTGTGACCAGAGATAGCTTAGCTATGGGACCCTGGCATGTCCCTTCACTTCTGCTCATGATATCTGTACTTGATGGGGCGAATGCTACAGATGACACACACAAAACCACTCAGCCAAGTGCTGGGCAGTCAGGATGCACTCGATCAATGTTGCCTTTCTTCACCAGGACGGCATGGGCTTATTATACAAGGACTTATTCCCTTCCCAGAGGGACACATAGTCTCTGAAGATATTTTTGTAAAGGTGTTTATTTTCACTTTCAACATGAAGGGAATTTAATCACTTTTTTCTTTTTTTTTTAAAGGTGAGTTTAAATTTGCTACTGATCACATGCGACTAANATGTTTATTTTCACTGTCAACATGAAGGGAATTTAATCACTTTTTTTTTTTTTAAAGGTGAGTTTAAATTTGCTACTGATCACATGCGACTAATTTAAATAAATGAAAAGTTCAGTTTGTGAAGTCTCACCGGCCACACTGCAAGTGGCATGTGGCTAGTGGGCACCGTGTTAGCAAAAAGTATCCCCATCCCCACCCTGAGAAAGTCCCATCTGACATGGAGAACAAGCAAGCTGATGTCAGAGCCGCACACGAGAAACACTCCAGGCCCACGCTGGACGGAGGAAGGGCACTGCTTTTCCTTGAGGTGGCGCCGACAAAATGCATGTTTCAGCGCTTTGAGACGCTGCACATCGATGAAATGAAAGGAAGTGACACGGGGCAGCTCCGCTCCTCCTTTCTCAGCTGCAATTCCCTGATTGCTCCCGATAAATGTTTACTATTATTACCCGTAAAACGGAGGGTAATAAAGGGCCGCCTGTAAGTGCTCTTTACCCTGCAGATCGTAATGACACTTGCGAGGCGGTAAAGGAGTGGGTGAGCAGCAGGACACATTCATGTAGTGGACCCTGGGCTGAGCATCCACATGCATCATTATCTCATTTAACTCCCATATCCTCACAAAACCCCAAGTGGGCCTACAAACCTTAACCCCATTTGACAGACAAGGAGACTGAGGTTGAGAAGCACCTGAGAAGGATCACATGGTCACCTAGTTGCAGAGCCAGGATCTGAACCTACCTATCCATCTGACTCAGGCCTTGTATGTTTCCCACAACATTAATGCGAACCTTCTAGAATGTTTCACGTGAATGTAAAGATCTCTCTGGACATAACATCATTAGAAGAATTAAGAAAGCTTATCAAAGGAAGTTATACATGTTAACTTTCTGGAGAGTTAGCGTCCTGTCGAGTCCTGATGGCCTTTATATCACTCCACTTTTAAGTATGGGAGCTGCCTGGATGGCTGGGGAAAGTCCTTGCACCATTTTGTCTGTGACTTCCACCAATTCAATACAGACTTTAAAAACTACCAGAAAACCCACAAAAGCTAACTTGGTAAGTAAACAAGAAGTAAAAAAGCAAATGTGGTGTTGTAGAACCTCAAACAGCATAAAAAGGAAGCCTGACCATGTGAACAAACAAAATAGGGGCCGGTATGTCTCTCAAAATATACCAGCAATCCAGGTACAAATGCAGAGTATTTTTACTGTCCATATCATTAATTTCACTTAATTTAGATAATGAAAAACAAAAAAACAAAATCCCAAGTAAGAATGTGTGGTACAAATGACCCAGTAACAGGTAAGATGCCAAGTAAAAGGGGAGGGGCAAAGGACTGCCAGGGAGGGCTCTTTAGAGGCAAGGACACAGTGACTGTAATAAGAGTCCCACAGGCTGTCACAGCCAATGCCAGCCTTTCTAAGTACCATAGCACTTTCAAGTAGCCGAAGAGTTGCACTAATTTGAGTTACTGGTTTACAGAAAATAGTGAATCTGGGCGACAATACTACTTCTTATCACTGGCTGGAAGGCCATTATGCCACCATAGAGTGACCAAAGGAAGACCAGAAAGTAGCAAGAAAACTGAAGTGAAGGGCCTTTACTTGGGCTCTGAATCATGAAGACAATATTCTACTTACTTGCACTGTGCATGATAATACTTGATGAGATTCTGCAGCAGGTCCACACCCTTTTTGGTCTTGATTTCGTTAACTTTAATGAGATACTGTGGAAATAAAACAGAATTGGGAGCTGATCATTACAGACAGGGCTCTTCAGTCATGGTTTTGGGGGCAGTCCCTCATTTGTGAATCTGCACCAGCTACTGGGCCTCGGCTGTCTTCAGATGGTGTGAGCTTAATTTAGGGAATGCTGATCCGACACAGGCACGAGTGTACTAAACAAATCGATTAGCGTGTTAGCATTTTATAAACATTTGAGATTAGCTTACTAGACACGCAGAAATCAAACACAGCAAAACATTCTGGAATAACTGATTCATTTCCTCTGGTGCAGTGGTTCTCAAACTCTGTGTTCACGTGGTCAAGACCTGAAAGATGAACCATTCTGTGCGGAAAACAAGTGAAACAGCACTTTCTCCAAGGAATGTGCCATAAGGTATTAAGACTTTTAGACCAAGAGATAAGAAAGAACTTTTGCTACTAAAAATGAAATGATAAAAGTAACGCATTATTAATTTGTGCACTGAACATTACTAGTTCTGAGTTTTACAGCTGGCCACGGTTTGTTGTTGACACGGTTCGCCTCCTGTTCACTTATTTCACTGTGTGAAGTGTTCGTGACAGACAAGTTCAAGGAGGAGCCAAAGGTTTGGGGGAGGGAGAAAAAAATTAAGGAAGGAAAACTTAAAATTAAGAAAACTCTATCCAGTTTTAGTTTCCAAAAACAGCAAAAGGAATTCTATTACTCAGTATTAATGTCAGAGGGGCTGGTCTCTAGGTCAAGGCCGGCCGGTGTTCTATGGGAACGCAGTTTGAGAACCACTGCTCTAAGTTTGAGGCAGCATGCTTTTGTTGTGTTTTTTTTTTCCCCCATGAACTCATAGACTTTCTTAATGACCACTTCAGCTTTCATTCAAATTGGACACATGGTTAAAAAACAACATGCTTTAAAACTGTACCAGTAAAACCTAATATTCACCAGTGTTACCTCTCACCCCCAATTTTTCTTTCCACACTCATTCACAAGCAACATTAAAGTTCTCACCAAAGAATCCTGCTTTGGCTTAAAGAGCCCCACAGGCCCCGGGCTCAAAATATGAGACAACAGTGACATGGACGATCCCAAAGGCTTGGAGAAAAATGAGATTAGAACCTTAAGTAACTGTCCCCTCCTCTAATAATCAAGCATAGCCTGCTTTTAAGCATGAAAACCGCTGACCCACAGGAAGGATCCCAGTTAATGAAATTCTAGGCAAATGGCTGAAAAGCCTGTTCTTACTTCGCACATCTGGAGCTGAAAGAGGCGCCGCTCCTTCTCCATTTCCTCTGCAATCTCGGCCCCGGTGATCTCTGTGCGGATCATCCCGTGCTGTTTCGCATGCTCTCTCTTCTCCTTCTCAATTTTTGTACTGGAATTAAAGCAGATGTCACCATTAACACACACACATCTTTCCTTCAGTGAGAATCACTGGATTATTTCTTGATTACTAGAGTTAAGATGCAGCGATCCTTAAGCTGGTAACAGCAATCAGAAGTAAAAGTCTAAGTTCAAAGAGAACAAACACACGGAATGGATTTTCTACTAGAAACTTCTCATATTTAACTTTGATCTCCCACAGGGTGGATTTATACAAATTCTTACATTTTGGCTGGCATGAAGAAATTTTGATAGTTTACTTTTTTTTGGGTACTTTATGATGAAAAAGAATCAGAAATTCGAAGAACTGAGGCATATTTTGATTTTCAATAGATGATTAGGCTTAGAATTATTTTAAGACAAAGTATATAACGGGTCTTTGTGCACAAAAATTAGTCATATATATAATTTCCAATAGTCTTCTAAGCGTGGGCTGTTTCCATATCCCAATAACACATTTTAATCATTCAACCACCTGGTGTTGGGTTGTACAAAGTAAGGACTGGGAGAAGTCCCAATCTATAATTTGGAATCCATAAAACATTCTTCAGTGGAGAGGGGACCTGAACAGTAAGAAGGAAGAGGCCCCACATTAAACCTACAGTGCCCGAGGCTAATGCTTGGCTATGATAGATGATGCTCTGGTAATAACACCAATGGTCACAGTCCTCTCTCCAAAAATCCACTGACCTTGAAAACAGACTTCTAATTTCAGAACTAGCCTGTAATTTCTAGTTGTGAACGCAAAGAGTAAGTGACTTTGCCTTCAAGTCTTCTTTTAAATTGTGGTGGTGGAAAATCAAACCCCAAAGAAAGCCAGTATCCTTGTCTATATACAAACAGTGGAAAATCAACCCATGAACCCAATCAATGGAAAACCTATTACGAACCTGGCTGGGATTCATGCTAATACTCTAATGTTACATTTAAGCAAGCCTTTCATGTCACTTTGGCAGTAACACAGGCGTGATGGCAGGTTTTTACCAGAAGAAAAATAAATCTCAGTTCTCTCCTCCTTGGCGTGGGTAGGAGAAGCAGCAGGACGCTATAGACACTTGAGAAGAAACATGAGGGGCAGGCGTAACTTAGCAGTAATAACAGATTTCTGAGTTAACATGGTGACTCGATCACGTTTATTTCTTCTTCGTTCAGCAATCCCACTAACATGACAGTAAAGTCATTCAAAAAGGGTAATGTCCCAGAGACAAGACAAGTGGAGATAAAAAAGGGTGACATAATTCTACAAATAACTGAAAGGGCAGATCAAAGGGGAAGTCTGCACCCCAATGACAGGCTCCTTGCCTCCCTGGCCTGTGTAGCTTTTGGAAAGAAAGTTCCCATATACAATCCAGGAAGGGGGCTGAGGGAACTGACTGGTCCAGAAGACACACTGTAGATACTGACATTCAGACTACTCCTGATAGGAAAGCTGTCTTGACATCCCAGAACTTAAAACCTAAAAAGGCAGCTCACTGCTTTCCTGACAAACCCCGCTGATGTAATAGGCTCTCATCAACGTCTGGGTGTCTTGCGGAGATACGAAGAGGCAGTCAAGGATTCTAAGATGAGTGAGAAAAGGCTCCAAAAGGAAAGTGTGAGATCAAAATAAAAAGTGGCAGGGTGGTGGTGAACGGAACTAGAGGCAACAGGGAGCAGAAAATTTCATGAAGTGCAACCATATCACCAGAGAGCTAGAACAGTGCCCCTATGAAACAAGAAACCATTAAAAGGAAAAAAAACCCAACCCAAACCGACCCCCACCCCAACCAACCAACCAACCAAAAAAAAACCCAACCCACACAAGAAAACCCAATTAATTGAGAAAAAGACCTTTCAGAAATTTAAAATATGATAGCCAACATAAAAAGGTCAGCTGAAACAGTGGGAAAGAAAGGTTGAAGAAATGACCTAAAATATAACAAACAGAACAGAGAGAATTATAAGAACAATCTAGAAAGTCCAACATAATATGAGGAGGAGTTTTAGAAAAATGAGAACAAAACCCCACACAAAACAGATGAGAGGAATTACAAGTAAATATCCCAGAATTGAAGAACTAAAAATTGCAAACAGAAGGTCAATGGATACACCATAGCCCACGAAGAAACTTTGTAAAATCCTTTATAAAAAAAAGACCTCAACATTTCCTAATTGAAAATAGCCCCCCCCCCCAAAAAAACTCCACATATCATAGAAAAATAAATGGGGATCAGAGAGGCAACAGATTTTGTTTTTTGTTTTTTTGTTTAAAATATTACAGATGTCCCTTTTTCTCCCCAATGACCCGTTCCACCCCGTCCCATCCCCCTCCCCAATCCCTCTTCCCACCATTGTCCATGTCCTTGGGTTGTGCATATATGCATATAAGTTCTTTGGCTACTCTCTCCCCCTCCACCCACCCTCCTCCATCCCTCTGACATTCGTCAGTCTGATCTATGCTTCCATGTCATTGAATCTATTCCGTTCATCAGTTTATTAAGTTCTTTAGATTCCACATATAAGCGAGATCATGTGATGTTTGTCTTTCTCTGCCTGGCTTATTTGAGGCATCAGATTTTTTCATTACCAACAAAAGAAATACTTTTGACATTTTGAAAGAAAATGATTATAAAGTTAAGATTATACATTCAGCCAAACTCTCATTCTATGTGATGGCAGAATGAAGATAGTTTTGGACACCCCAAAACCTGAAAATTTTACCTCCTTTAGAGCTGTTCTTTGGAAAGGACTGGAGGTGGTGTGCTAGCAAAATTGGGATTACCCTGGGCAAGAGTAAGTAGAAGACCGATCACTAGGGGGCAGCACAGAATGACATCCCCACTGACGTGAAGAGCTCTGGATGGATGTCTCCAGGAGAGAAAGGAAGGAACTGACAGGGAATTTAAGAATAGATACATAATCATTACAGTAATACACATCATGTATTTTCTAAACAGAATCAGTATTAATTGGTGTAGGACATCTGTTGGAAAAGATAACAAAAATTCACAAAAGATTCATACAGAACTAAGCAAAGGAAGAAATGAGGTAATTATTTCACTAAGCAGCAGCAAAAGATTGAACTATAAGAATGGAAATTCAATCCTAACCCCTCACTGAGACTGCAGTGGATACTCAGCACAACAGTATCAATCATACTGGACATTAGACGAATGGGGGGGGGGGCAGGCAAGTGATGTCTGTGCTAGAGAGCCAAATCCTCGCTGACCACAGCAACCAGGAAAGACCAGCAAGAGAACACTGAGGAACAGGGAGATGAACCAGGGTTCGGGTGAGAGTTGGAAAAAGGAGAGCCCAGGAGGTAGGGAGGGTTGGGCAGAGGGCTGCTGAGTTTTTCCACTTGAAGCTCACTGGCTGCCTACTTAATATTCACTCGCCCCTCATCATTGGAAAAGAGCCCTGTATCGTCAGGTACAGCACAAACTCTCTGAGTTTAGATGCTGAGGACAACAGACACTCGACCAGCCACACAGTCTGTGTGTCGTGCGGGAAGTGCTGTGAAGGGTGCTTGGCCACCCTAGAATGCTTTATATTCAACTCCATGTTGTAGCCATTGTTGTCCGGGGTTTCTATTGTATGCAGTCGGGGTAAGTCTTCACTGATACGAGTACTACTTGACGTTTTATGAATATGTATTGTTTTGGTCAAATAATATTTGATCATTAAACCTAATAAAAATTATTTAAGTCCCTACTGTACACTAGGCAACTATGACAATTGCTTTAGCACATGACCTTCCCTTGCCCTTACAAAAACTTTGAGAAGTAGGTAATGTTTATATTATTTTACAGGTGAGGGGCATCGAAGTTGATTCTCATGCAGATCTCATTCCCAAGCCTGTGATCCTAACCACGACCTCTCACTGCCTCTGGAGTTCTAAATGGAAGACCAGAGAAAACGTGCAGCCTCCTTCGTTATCAAAGCTAATAAATCTTTTTGGCACTAAGTCATTTAGTTTTCTGTAACTCATAATCAAATGAGCCTCACTCCATCAAACAGACACGTTCAGCTTTTTTTCTTCCTATACCACACCATGTCAGAAGGAAAGAAGCCTATCGTGGGAAAATAATTTGTTGACAGGGATTTATTAAAAAACAAAGACAAAACCAAAATCTTCCTGGTGAGATCAGGACCCACTCAATGCACTATTCCTGTTACACATTCCTAGGTCTGGATAATCCTTTATTCCTCCAATAAATGTTCCCTGTGCAGCAACTCTATGCCAAGGAATGGTAGACACTGGGAGATTAACACCACACACAGGGACTAGGTGGTCACTGTCCTCTCCGAGTTCAGATTCCAGAGAACAATATAGACCAGTGAACAGACAAGTCTATATACCGTTTGGTAGAGGTGCTGTGAATGACACCTAGGTCTTCTTAGAACATTTTATGTTCTATGATAACCATAATACTGACAACCAGACACGTCAAGGTCTTCAACTGACGCGTAGATTATTATACAAATACAACTGTGCCACCAAGTCTTGCAGTACTTCGGCTGACAAAGCACATGCCTTGTTTGGGTGTCCTGTGTCCTACAGGGGAGATATAGCCCACAAGTTACAGCAAAATGCTTCCCGAGCTGGGAGCTCCCACCCCCTTCCTAAGCGCTCGGTTCTATTCGCTCCGAGTGCAGGCAATTGCCTCCGGGCGGGGCAGTGCTCAGTCACTCTCGAGCGCGCGACCCACTTTCACAGAGCAGGACAGTGCCCGCAGCGTTCAGCTACACCAGCTGACCACCCGACGAGCCCCTTTGTTCTCAGCTGCACTTAACGTCAACGCACAACAGTGTTCCTAAGACGGCAAGGCTCCGACAATGTAGTTATTACGTAAGCAATTATGAAAGTGGTTTGGGAGAAAAATATTTAATCCTGAATGTTTCTTTTCCTTGTCATTTTGCTGCTATTGTCGCCTTCAGAAATGCTTTTATTCTCTTATGTTTACAGTTACTGAGGTTTCTGCCAAGATTTCTATTAAATGCTTTAAAATAATTTCTCCTCCCACCCCACCCCACAGCCTGGTGTCACAGCGTCTCAGAATCATAACACAGGCACGTGCTGTGCTCTGTAAGGTACAGAGGTGCGGGGCCCACGCCCAGGGCTCCTGTGCGTCACCTCCCTGAGCCCTCCAGTGACCCACCAGGCAGGCCAACCTCTTCACCCTTATAAGCAGGTACTAAACACTTTTTTTGTCCAGAAGATGTAAGTTAAGGGCTCTGTCTTTTTCCCAGTCATTCTTTTTCTTAAGAAACTCAAGACAATATAAGAAAACCCAAACCAAATGAAAACAAAACAAAGAAAAAACCCACTTACAACTTTGTCTCATAATCTTTCCACGCTTTGTCGAATGGCTTCTTGAGGTCCTTAGAAAAGAGAAAAGGAAACTGAAATTGAATGTACTGTTGCTTAAAGGTGAGTAAATAATTTTGAAATAACATCTTAGCAAAAATGCTTTCCTTCACAACACGCTTAAACTTTTTACAAGCCACGCGCACACACATCGCACTATTATTACAGATGAGAGGCCTGGCCTGAGAGCGTAGGAAGGGCGAGCATCCTGGTCACTGTGAAGCACCTCCCCGACTCCCTGGTTACTGCGAGGGGTTGGGGAGGTGACCGCATACAAGCCCTGGGAGTGGGCCCAGCACCTTCCGTACCTTATGGAGCACAACACGTGCCCACGGGGTCCACTAGGGATGGAGCTGAGACCCAGGTGTGGATGCTGCCCCACCCACCTTGGCCCTCAATCTTCCCCAAAGTGTCTGAATTTTGTTCCTCAGTCAATAACGTTATGGAAAGTGGCACATCTTTTCCACTGATCATTTTCCGACAACACTTTTTTATGATAAAAATGTTCACAGTGCCTTTCAAATACAAGTAGCACTAAGATCTTAAAAGAGAAAAAAAAAAATCAATCCTTTCAAGTTACAGTGAAAATCAAATTTCTGAACACTTACTCCTTTGACTCCCTTCAGGTCTCCTTTTAACAGGGAGTCCAAGGTGAAGATCACATTGTGGCTCAGACCCTGGAGCTGAAAGACAAAGCAAAGGTGGGAGCTGTTAGAAAAGAGAGAAACATGGAACAGTGAGGCCACTAATGCTGACCTCACTTCCCGCACACCAGACTTCAGGCCAGGACCCCATGCACCCGCCAGGGGGACACCTCCAGGTCAGGGGGCATCACTGACCCCTCTGGATCGGGCGGCGTGGCCCCAGGGCCGGTGCTCTGAACGCGGTACAGCAGCGTATGTGCACCTGTGCATGATGCCTCGGCACGCAATCTGACTTCTTCAAATGCCTCAGTCAGAGTGAGGTTATACAACTTGCATTTACAGCCTCCTTAATTCTATTTTTTACATTTTAAAATTTCCTTTTTATATTCTTTTATGGTATTTACCATGATCTAAAATGATCTGGTTTGTTTATATATATATTTTGTCTCCCGGACCAGAACATAAGCTTAATGAGGGCAGATCCCTGACTGCCCTGCTCACAACTGTATCCTCAGGGTCTAGATTTCGTGAAGAAGACAAGGTATTTAGGCAGCGCCATCTGCTGCTGGGGTGCAGGTTTCTTCACTGTTCTGAGCCAGTGGCCTGGGCCTCTTTGATTTTAAGATGGTATGAAGAGGAGTCTACAGAGGAGAGAGATGAGGCTGCTACCCAGTGGAGAGAGGGGTGGCAGGAAACAAGGGAGGGACGGACAAGTGCAGACAGAATCAGCAATGCCAGGACAGTGGAATCTGCCTTCCAGGAGATCCAGTATAGTAAGCCCTCACTTAACATGGTTGAGAGGTTCTGTGACTTTAAGGGAAAAGAGGCAACGAAACCAGTTACACCACAGGCTAACTGACAGAAACAAGGGTAAGTTCCCATAGCATCTCATCAGCATTTATAATGAAATGCTGTTGAGCAAAACAACGTTGTTATTGGAGGACCTGCTGTATCTTGGTGAAATCAGTTTTAGCAGCATAGAACTAAGACTGCAGCCACCCACAGAACCGGGTTACAGATGGAGAGGCTGGGTTCCCTCACTGAACTCACTGAAGAATTTTACTTAAGTGTAAGCATATTTGTCTGTCTGTCCGTCCATCCATCATCAATCTTCCTAAGTACCTATTCTTTGACACCTGCTGTACTAGGGGCTGGGGAGGCAGACAAATAAAACAGCACTGCTGCCTTCAGAGAGCTCACATCCCAGGGACGAGTGCAGTCAGCATGCGGCCAGCAAGCCCTCCACCACGTTACTGCACCAGAGGCGGAGGGAGGTGGTGGTGTGAGGAGGGCAGGCACCGTCACGCCTGGCTTTGTGCTGACCTTCCTAACCACACCTCTAAAGTGAGGACATTCTTTTTTTTTTTTATAATATGTTTTCATTGATTTGAGAGAGGGAGGGAGAGGGACAGAGATGAGAACTATGATCGGCTGCCTCCTGCATGCCCCCTACTGGGGATTGAGCCCAAGACCCAGGCGTGTGCCCTGACTGGGAATCGAACCAGGGACCTGAGCCACACTGACTGGGCTAAAGTGAGAACATTCTAACCTCTCCTGATGGCTGTTGTGAAGACAGGATGAGTTAATGCCCGTGGCAAGTGCTGGCTCATTCCCTGACACCTAGGAAGTGCTGAGCACATGCTTATTTATAAAATCCTTTGGGACATTAAATATGAATACGGCAATGCGGGAGACCTTCCTTTGGCCCACTTCTCCCTAAGCCTTTCCTGTGCTTCTCATCCCAGGCTTCCCGCTGTTGGCAAGTCATCCTACACCCCTACCCTCCCTGCCCCCCAATTTTACACGAGTAAGTTTTCAGTGCAAACCACCAGGGGCTGAACAGAAACAACCAACTCTTTCTTTCTCATTTCAAAGACAAAGTGATTCCTACCAAGACAATTCTACCCATGCAATTTCACCACCACGCATACAGAGAAAGCCTGGCTGGCAGGCCAGCCAGCAGCAAGAGGCTGAAGATTCAGTACAGGTCTGTGAGGGTCTAGGGCCCTGATTCCTGGGGAGTGAGGTGAAAAAGAATCTGATATTATGATGATTTGTGGCCTTCCAAAGGGAAACAGTACGTACATTGATGCAGAGAAAACCTACGGTATTAAATTTTATGGGGGAAGTGATGAGAAGACAATGTCTTTAAGCAGAATCCTTGGGGTGAGGGTTTGCAAGTAATAATAATAAAAAAAAGCAAGGTTGAAAAACACTCGTTTTGGATACAAGATGGGAAAGATAAAGACTAGCAGGATTCACCCTCTGCCCTAGATGGGTAGATGAAATAACATTTTGCTGAGTCCCCAACAATCTCATGCCTGGGATATAAGCGCCTGCATCCTGCTATCCTGTGCTTTAGGACTTTATGTGGATGGCGGGTAAGTGAGGTGGCGCTCATCCCGCCCTCCACTGATCAAGCCAGTACCTACCTTTCCTCTGTTCATGGAGATCCTTGCATTATTTTCTCTAAAACCCTTACCATTCCTATTTTATATGTTTGTTTCCTTAGTGGTTTGCTGTGTCCTCTTTGAGAGTAAGGCCTACTACATTTCCAGAATTTAGAACACAGCCTAGCAGAGTAGGTGCTCAATAAACATTTGTAGAATGAAGGAAATACAGAAACGTGCTTATAAGGTTCTTCTCTACAGGGCACTTTAACTGATGGAAAGGTCATTGTTTATCAACAGGAGACTGATGAGTAAAGTATGGAAGTTCTAAACAGCCACAGACACGAGAAAGCTCTTTCTGTCTAACTTACCTCCAAGATAAGTTGTTATGAGATAAAGCAAAGTGTAAGACAGAATTCATGGTGTACAAGAATTTGTATAAAAAGAGAATAGAGTATGTTATGCTTAAGTTATTTCTGAAAGGACACAGAAGAAACTGCTGATACTGGGTCCCTGTGGGAACTGGGTGGGCAAGGGGAGAGGAACTCTTTTTACTCTGTACTTTTCTGCATTTTTGAAAAGTTTTGGTAACATACATATTGTTTATTTGCAAAAGGTATACATTCTAAAACAACAAATGAAAACATAGTGATTATAAACCATTTTTAATGTTTAGTCACAATGGCTCAAATCCTTTGTGAAATGAAGCAGAAAAACAACCCGTGATGTTATTGCCACCTTGATCTGAAAGCTGCATGAAAAAAATAGCAAAGGAATTATGAAATTCTGTGGTTAATACTCAATGTGGGGGTTGCGTATAAGGAAAGTCCCTCAAAAGCCATAGACTGACCACACAGCAAACACATGACACGTCTCCACCCCCCCGTGTCGTCACCGTGGTCAGGCATGGGCAGGAGGTGGCGGGCTGCAGAGACATTGATAGAAGCCTCAAGAACTAAGAATTTCTCGTGGTTATCCACACATATACTCTTGGGGCCGATAAGAAGCCAAGAAGGCAAAATAGTGTGTATTACGGATCCCGAGTCTTCCCAGCCTATATGAAAAGGCCACAGGAAAACAACTTAAAACTTACAAGCTCTTCCTAACTTTTCCCAGGAAAAGTAGGTTCATTTATAAAAACTGGCAAAGGTCATTTTAAGTGGAAAGTGAATCATAACTACCTTTCATTATAAAGATACAGAGAGACGGTGAAGAGAAAGCAGACCACCCAAGAGAAGGTGTTTAGGAATTACTCGTTGAGAGGGAAAACAAAATCTCCTTCCGTGGAGCTCTCCATGAAGAGACACCTGTTTTCTCCCATATCTTAAGGTCCTGGTTTGTGACAGAGATGAATCACATGATTTCACCCTTGGGGGATTCCGGGACTTTCCTGGTTTTTGTTGTTTCGTTTTTTAAAATGTATTTTCTAGTTCCTTCAGAACACTTTTTAATGGCCTGAGCAAGACTTGCAAACTGTTGTGTAATAATAGCATATCCAAAGGCAAGTGCGACGCAGCCAACATCATGCCATGACAACACAGGGGACAGACTTCCTGCAGCACCTTCGCTGTCATTAACGGGTTTTTATTAAAAAGCCTTTCCAATCTATCACATAGTTATTTCCCATTTATTTTACTAAAATTCTATTGACTCCATTCCTGCTGACTCGACTATACTCCATTTCCTTTCCTTTCATGGTAACATGGAATTAACAAGTTCTTTATGTGACACATAGCAAGAGGCTGAAGAGCATGTTTTAAAAAGTATATCTTTTGCATTTTATTGAGCCACCAGCACATTAAAAACCACTTTGGGAATGACGCTGAGGTGTGGTAAATACAGCTGCTTTCCAAACAAACCGCTGTTCCTTTCCTCACAGACAGGCTATTTCTCCTGAGAGTACAGCCATCAAGCCCAAACAGAAACTTGGAATAAACCAGTCGGGAGGAAGCTATCTATCCTTTCATTATGCAGAAGTGACTTGTGTGAGCAAATAAACTGTAATTAATACTGGTTTTGATAAAAATAACCATTTATTCCTTACGATTGTTTAGACATTACCAGACTTGCTGACGACTTCACAGACAGTTTTCCTCTATGGACATAAACACACACACACACACACACACACACACACACACTTCGGTCCTGATTTTTTTTACCTAACTTTGCTTCACCACAAAACGGAAGGGCCTCGTTTATGTGATGACTGACCCATCACCCATCTCTCCTCTCTAGAAGGTGATGGATGCTGCTTAAGGGAGGCGTCCCATCTGCTCTGTTCACGAACTGACCAGATCCCACAGCAGGAGCCACGAAGCAGCTGTGGTCACTGCCCTGCGCTTCCCGGCTGCCCGGGGGGCCTGTGGGCGGGTGTCCCTGCTGCCCCGGGCTGCTGAGCGGCGGCGTGGGGGCAGCAGGGAGCAGCACAGCTCCGCGATGGCCCCTCCGCGACACCTCTGCTGCCCCTCAGTTATGGAGGACACAACCGGCTGCTCTGTCATCCTGCACTAATTCTGATACTCTCCCTCCACTGCCATAAGTTTTGCTCCTTTCCCTTCACATGCAGAGAAGGTTTCCTGAAAGTCAGGCTAATTCGGATCTGCTAACTTGCTCACCAGGGAAAATCCAATTAAAACAATGAGCCAG